AAGTTACTTAGTTGCCATTTTGATTGATTACCATCATTGGCTCCTGTTGTGTGTGTGTGTGTCTATAGATATATGTGTCGATTCGGGTTCAATGGTGGATCAGTTTATATCGACTAGATCAAATTGAATCGAATCAGGCAAAGAATTTTTTTTCAGGCGAAATAAGTATCCAACTGTGTTGATGTGTCATAGTCGAACAAAACAAAATAAAACAAAACTTGTGCTTGTTTGTTTACTTGCTTGTTTTTTTTCATCTTTTCTGGTATCTGTATTTTTTCGGGTATCATTCTTTACATTGTACACATACACACAATTTGAATTCAATTAACGTTCTTTTTCGTTGTCTTCCATCCTCTTTCTCCTCGTTTTTTTCAGCTAGGTTTGTTTTTAGTTAACGCAAAATAATTTTATTATTACAATGATGATACGACAAACTTTGAGTACCCAATTTTTCTTTTTACCAGGGCTATGAATCTATCATGGATTCGATAATACGATGATGGTAGTAAGGATATTATGTATAAAAACATAGAGGGAGTTTACCAATATCGAATGTTTACTTAGCTGTGGCTGAATTTATCGATATCATTCAATGATTCGTGTGTGTGTGTGTGTGTGTGTGTGTGTGTATGTGATTATCATATCGGTCCCATCATCAGGATCATCATCATCATCAACATCAACATCATTATGCATTACATTTATTGATTCACTAGAATCTAACCGACTGGAATATTCTTTCTTTTTTTGCTCTTATTGGATAATACGATTATTCTCATTTTTGTCATTGATTCTAATGCAAACATCAAAATAAACAAATAGAAATAAAGAATTTGGACAAAATGGACTAAATAAGAACAACAAGAATAAAGATGATGATGATGATGATAATGATGAAAAAAAACGATGAGTCCTGATCATCATCATGTTCATGAACATGATGATAGTCATCATTATCATAATATCAACAACGTTCTCATCATCATCATCATGACATCAAGATTTTTATTTTGCTGACAAACAATTGTAATTTTTGGACAAGATAAGGTCTGGTTCTCTCTTATTTCAATTTCGATTTACAAATGTAATTTTAGTTGATAAAACAACAACAACAAACAAACAAAGATAATTTGTTTTTCCACTTAATAATATGTCTTTGTCCATCAATTTGATTCATTATAGAAATGTTTGTTGTATATACCTCACATTCGAATTCTCATTTTATTCTCATTCTCATTATATATTACATGTATCGATTATATTAATTAATTTCAATTTACTAAATTTGGTCAATTTGATTATAATCATACAAAACAAAAACCCTTAACCCAGTTGGGATCAAAATAAAATGAAATCTATTCTGATGATTTCGTTCTCTCTGCCACTAATAAATATCAGTTTGGTTTTGTGTTCGTTTTATAAACACAAAAAAATAAGAATCGAATATTTGCAAAAAAAAGAAACTAATGTATCTTTCATTCTTTTTTTTTTTTTTACTTTGGTCTTCGTCTTTTTCGTCATCGTCGTTGTCATCGTCATTGTCGTTGTTGAGAAATTTTTTTTTTATTTTTCTACTTATTTGTATCTTCGTTTTTTATATATATATACAATTTGTATGATCTGTTGTACGCAAAATAAATTTTGACCTTTTACTTACGTTTCAAGGTTTCCGTTCTTGTTGCTTTTGGGGTTGATGTCCAATTTTCGATTGTTGGTTTGTTGATTATTGTTGGTATGGTTGTCGACTGGGGTTATTCCCGATTGATTGTCGATGGTTGATGATTGCACAAAATGTTTTTACACAACATAGGAATTGATAATCCTACTGGTCTGTCATATATAATACTGAAGTACTATATAAAGTTGCGACTATGGACAGGCTTGTTGAGGTCAAAACGGAAGTCTGCAATACTTCCACCGATATGTTTGGCAACAACCACACTCACAACACGGTTTAATAAAAATGAAAAGTTTATTTAATAACCTAACAAACGATAATAAGCAAAAATGTACAAGAAATATAAATGGAAACTTGATGATGATAATAATTGATAAATGATTGATTTTGGTAATATGATGATCGGCCTAACAACAGATAGTTTGATACCCAAAACACGTGGTTTTGTCGTTTACAATGTTCATGGACAATTTGAGCAATGATAATTTAGAGGTTTACACTTCCTCTTGTTTGATATATAACATATATATACAATGTTCGATTGTCACATTTTTTGGGTCGGTCGTTTTGTCGGATAGATGTTGGTTGGTTAGTCGTTGATTGTAAATGTTCATCACATCTATCTATCCATCTGTCTATGGTATGGTCCACGTTCAAAGTTTCATAAGAATGATGACGATAGCGAATAGATCGAAAATGAATGTCGTTGTTGTAAAAACAGAATAATAATGATAACAGAAAGAATAAAAGTATTTCTAACGAATGAATGAATGAATGAATGAATGACGAACAAACAAACAAACAAACAAACACGGGTCGTCTTAAATGATGATGATGATGATGATGATGGTTTGAACAGTATAGAATAGTATCTTATTTCTCAAATTCTTATGTATGTTCTAGTGTATTTGTTTGTTTGAATAAATTATTTATTTTACGACATACGAAACTAAAGAAAGGGTCTAACATAGATAGATAGATATTGAAACGTTTATCTACAATAGTTTTAGTTTGTTGCAACCCCCCCACACACAAATCACCACTTCCATTCTTCTCATAGTTTCATGATATAATGATACACATATGATGATCGAAAGAATAATTGTATCCCGATTCCTATAGCCAACAATATATACATTCGAATAGCCGATGATCGTAAATTATCAGTGAAAGCATTTTTTCCATTGGTTAATTTTATCTTTGATTATAAGGTCTCTATTCATTTGTAATCGAAGGTTTTTAATGGATGAATATTTAAACTATACCATACATTAAGAATTCCCAAGTACTTCTCAAATAGAAATCTGGTGAGAAAAAAAAATCTGTTCACAACCATGGGCCAGAGAAGTGTTGGATGTTTATTATTACTGTTATTGTTGATGATGCCAAAGAATGAAATGAAGGATTTCAATCTGGTTTTAATTTTGATTTTCATTTCTTTCATCTTGGTTTTCGGTGATCATTACAAATAACATTATCATCAATGTGTTTGTGTGTGTGTACGTAATTTCCTTTTTTTTTAGGTTTTTAAATTTTCATTTCGATTCTCTATTCACGCAAGGCTCTGGTAAACAGTACAAATGTAAAGAATAAAAAATGAAAAAGTTATCGCCATCGACAGGAAATTTTTATTTTTATTTTTACCATTTTATTATTATTATTTTGATTTTCTCTTATTCTCATTCTTTTTCTCTCTATAGGATGATGAGCTTCTGTCGACTAATTTTAGTGGTGTTTTTTTTGTTGGTTCAGTTTATCATTGAAAAAATAATCTAAACCAATAGAATTCTGTCACTAAATTGAAAATATGCACACACACACACACACATACTGATACAGATGTTGTTGTGTAGAATGCATGTTCCTGTGAAGCATAGATACAAATTTCATTTCATCCTATGGAATCCGTTTTGTATAAAATGATGATGATAATAATGACTTTTTTTTGATGTTTAGGGGCTGTGTTAATGTTGGCGAGTGAAAATGAAAAAAAAAAATAAAATAAAATTCTTTTTTTATTCTAGTTCAGCTATTCTGACACAATATGGCTACCATCATCGCCATCGCCATCGTCATGATCATCATTATCATTTGGTACATCATTTCGCATTTTTTTTTTTTTCTTTCGTTGGTTTCGATTAAATCATCGCCCATCACAACCATCATGGCCATTACTGCCATTGATGATGATGATGATGATGATCATTGTCATCATCATTGGTAAACGTTAAGAATAAAATTTTTGAAAAAAAAGCAAAAAAAAATTCAAAACATTTGCCGAATTTTTTTTGTTGTTGTGTCTGGATTCAATTGATTTACCGTTCTTACAGTGTAGAGAAATGAAACAAAAATTTCGATTTGAAAATCAATCAATTTTCCATTTTCAATCGTCCCAATACACAAACAAGACAACATAATGGAACAAACAAAAAAAAAGAAATATTTATCTCCCAAGGATATAAACGATATCGAATGAAGAATCGATGTCGTATGTTTTTATAAGATGGTGAAATCTTCTAGAATATTCTAATAGTTGGAAAATTTATACAATCATTAATTTGAATGGCAAATAAAATTTTCTATTTGATTCTAGGATTTTTTTTATGCATGAAAACCAGATGAAGATGTATCAAAAAGATTTATTATTCGTTGTGGAATCAAAAAAAAAAAAAAAAAAATCATCATGATTTGTTTCCGGGGATAAAGCATATTCAATCAACCGTTCTATTTTTCTATAATAATAATGATCATCATTATCGTGGAATTTTATTGGATTGGATGAAAAATTAAAAACAAAATCATAGCGTCATCTGTCATTGTTGATATAAACAAAAAATTCTTCGATTCGAATCTTCAACAAAAAAACATATTCTTTCGAAGAAAAATTGATATTTTCTTTAAAAATTCAAATGTTCTGTCACAGATGGCGCCAATATGTGACCAGAAATTTTTTACCGGATTCTCACTATTTTTAAAAAAAAAAATATCCGGTTAAAAAATGCGAAAAGGAAATTAATAAGTTCGTCTTTCTTCATTCATTCGGGCCATTGGCCATACGGGGAAATAAGTTTACATAACGATAAAACAAAATACGTCATTTTATTGTGTGAACAAACAAAGAATATGAGGAAAACAAAAAGGAAAAAAAATATCAATCACAATATGAATAATTGAATTGATAAAATCAGAGAAAAAAAAAACGACTATTTAATAGAGAACATCATATACGTCAAACTAATGATATAATGAAAATTTTACGAAAAAACAACAATGAATAATTTCATAACGAGAAATCCATGTACGCATGATCAAGCGTAAATGATAATTGATAATTGTCATGTGGATGTATATTGGATGATAAAATGAAAAACCCGAATACGTATGCTATAGCCGACAAAATGTACTTAAAAACTTTCCCTATGTTCACATTTCCTCCATGAATTTTTTTGTTACATGCATTTTTTTGTGATCGAAAATTGAATTGATATAAAAAGGAATGGATTCATTAATCGTTCATCAATTTTTTCGAAGTTTTATTTTTTTAGTCCATTTTTCATAATGTTTGACCATAAACCGACAAAAATTCTTACAGCCAATAAAATCAATATTTTGGCTATATGGTTAGTAATTGGTTCGATTCTATTTTATTCTGCATCCAAATATCCGTTACAAGAAACATTCAAAACTGTCTATTCTCACATACCCGGTTGGATTGAACCTGATGATGATGTTGGTCGTGATATTGTAAGTGTTAAATTTTTTTTTATTCTCTCATCCATTATAATTTTGCTTATTAGTTTGATTTGATTAACTCAAGAGGATTCGAATATGAATCACATTTTGTTGAAACCGTCGATGGCTATATACTACAATTAGTTCGTCTTGTAAATCCATTCACCAAATATAATCAAACACGTTATCGTCCTGTAATCCTTTCACATGGTGTTGAATGTACAGGTTCAGAATTTCTTATCAATAATCCTGGATATTTAAATTCAGATGGTACTTATTTGGAATGGGATGAAAATGATAATCTGATCAATGGTTCGGAAAAAATAACAAACACATTGGGTTTTACTTTATGCTCATATGGATACGACGTATGGTAAGTTTTGCTAAACCGAACAAAAAAAATTTTTAACCATTGTAAAAATGTATATAATTAAGCGAGTTTTTCAATAAAAATTTTTTTTTGTCTTCTTCTATCCTTTGGCAACACAAGGTTAGTGAATTTTCGTGGAACAATCTATTCTTTGAATCATACTAAATTGGATATCAACGATCCAGAATATTGGAGATTTTCAATGGATGAAATGGTTAATATAGATCTACCATTAATGATTGATTATATATTAGCAACAACAACATCCGATACATTAACATATATAGGCCATTCACAATCGAATATTCTAATGTTGGCATTAATGTCTGAAAACGATCATTATCAACAATTAGTAAAACCATTCATAGCACTTTCACCAACATGGCATCTAACCAATGTTCGAAGTAACCTAGTTTTTTTCAATTTATTTGAACCTTATCTAAAGTAAGTATTAAACCATAAAATTGGTTTTAAATGAATATCACACATTATCCCTCATTCAACTTATTCAGATTATCACCGGGTCCGTTAGTATTTCATGATATGAAAACCGTACGATCTGTTCTATCAACACTTTGTTCAAATCGTATGATACGATGGATTTGTTATCAAATTTATGATATGTCAGTTGGTTATCAACCTTCCGATATTCGTTTGGATCGTTTTCCTGTTCACATTTATAATATACCATCAGGTGCATCCAATGATAATGCTATACATCATATGCAAACATGGAGAACCGGTAGAGTTAGCCATTATGATCATGGTTTAGAGAAAAATTTATTATTATACAATCAATCTGAACCACCATTGTACAATGTTTCACGTATCAATTCAGCACATATGGCATTTTTTCAAGCTTCACATGATCGTATCAGTTCAATCGAAGGCAATATACAATTGAAGCAACAATTATCAACACCATTACTGGAAGATTACGTAATTAATAGGACAGATTTTGATCACATGAGTTTTGTTTGGAGCAAACATGCTGGCATTTTGGTAAATGAAAAAATTCTACAGCTCCTATCATTGTACGAAAATGATAATCAAACTTGTTAAGTGATATTGAATAGAAACTTTTGTATCTAAATAAATCGTTAATTTTTTGTTGTTGTTGTAAATAAATACATTCACATAATAAAACGTATTTGATAATTATCATTAAATAAAGTTCAATAGAAATTTTGATACGCATTCAAAAATGAACTGTTTTTTGTTCAACATTATTATGGTGAAAATAATTGAGATAGTAGGCCATTACATAGAATTAATAAGTACACTATATTGGATGCACATCCGGATTATCAATTGATCGACTTTATCAATCGAATGTTGAATAAATGATCATAGAGGCTGTAATTATGAATTGTTGAATATTTTCATTCATTTTGTATACAATATTGATATTGTTGTTGATAAATGATGTTCAAGCACCCATTTCTCTGAAATAATAATTACGATACGATTTGGTGGATGAATTATTTATCCGACTGAGAACCCGGCTGGGATCATTTGACATTCATCAATTGAAAATTTATGTAATATTTTTATAATTATTTTCGTATTCAATGTAAGTTGATTAAAAAATTTAACTAATAAACATAAACTATCAAGACATAAATTGTTTGTGTGTTTCAAAACATTTTGTTGAAGTGAAATTAATTTCAGCACTATTTCTACAGATGAGTGAGGGTCAAATGACTTTTTTTTTTGAATGTCATTAACAATGTACAATCAAAATTCCTGTAGAAATAGTTAAAACTGAATTAATGTTGACCTTGACAAAAAAATTATTTTAACTTTGTTGCCTTTTGATGAAGGTTTCATTCATCTGTTATTATTTGTTAATATTTTTTTTTTTTTTTTTTTTTTTTGAATAACAATGGTCAAATCGGATTATACCAGCTAATGGCTTGAATGATATAATCATATGAAGATAGCTGAAAAATAACAACAACAACAAATACAAAAGAACAGACGAATGTATGCATTAATACTGATGAATGTATAATAAATATTATGAAGAAAAAATAATCAATGACGTTCAAAAGATTTCAAATGAAGATAAAAACAAACGCAATTTCTCAATTGCAATTCTACGTTGTAATCGATTATGACAACAAATCGACCAGTGGTGGTTGAAGTTGAATCTGAAAATTCTATCGATAATGTTTTGGGATGATTATTTGTGGAAATTATATATGACCGTATCATTATGGTCATATTCAATGTACCAAAATTTACCCGGATCATATGAGAATGAAGATACTGACCGTGATATCGTAAGTAATCATTACTATGTTACTTTTAATGATGATTTAATTTGATTTTCAAACTTTGTTCATTATTTTCATATATCAGTATCAATTGATCGAATCACGTGGATTCAAATATGAATCTCATTTTGTACAAACAAAAGATGGGTACATTTTACAGCTTGTTCGTTTGATAAATCCGTTCATAAATGGTACAAAAAGAAGACGATTAAAACCAATATTACTACAGCATGGATTTCAATGTACTGGATCATTGTGGCTAATTGCTGCAAATGGAACATTGGATCGTTATGGAAATTATATCGAGTACATTGTAGATTCGGAAGATCGTCCGATTGTAATCAATGGTACGAAAGAAGAGGCCAATTCACTAGGTTTTGTATTGGCATCAAAAAATTTTGATGTTTGGTAATTATCGGGTTTAGAATTTTCGATTCACTATTACTAAAAATTTTTATTAAAGGTTGGCTAATTATCGTGGCAGTGTTTATTCATCCAATCATACAAGACTAAATATGACTGATGAAGAATTCTGGAAATTTTCAATGGATGAAATGATACATTATGATTTACCGGCTGAAATTGATTACATTTTGAAGCATACTAAACGTTCGACATTATCTTATATAGGTATCACGAACAAAATTTTTCCTTATCAAAATATCTATTTTATCGATTATATTTTTCTCATTTTTGAAACAGGCCATTCACAAGGATCTCTGATGATGTTGGGATTGATGACGATAAGTAATCGATATGCAAAAAAAATCTCTCCATTCATCGCTTTATCTCCAGTATTCTATAATCTAAATATGTCATTGGCGATAAAATTTGTTACTCCAATAAAAACCATACTTAGGTGAGTTAATATATACCAAATGACATGAATAGAAATAATTTTTTTTTATAAACCGGTATAAAGAGCATATCCTGGAATGGTGCCATATTCGAATACGACTCGATCATTGCTTGCCCATCTATGTCAGAATATCTTCATACGGAAGTGGTGTTTTCAAATCACTTATCCTTTTTTCGGATCATTTACCCACAAAATGATTTTAAATCGTATTCCTGTCTATTTATCAGCTGCACCAATGGGCTCTTCATCATGGAATGCAGGTTAGGTGAAATTAATTCAGCAGGTTAATTTATTAATAATTCAAAGCAGCACATTTCATGCAAATGATTGAAGCTGATAATGGACAACCAGAATATTTCGATCATGGAAGATGGAGAAATCTGGAATGGTATGGTCAAACAAAACCACCAATCTATGATGCTAGCCGTATAAATTCAACAAAAATGGCTTTTATATATACAAGTGGTGATTGGTTGAATAGTATCGAAAGTGTTGAATTATTAAAATCAAAACTTAAAGGTAATTAAGAGCATTAAGTTATTTATAACTTGATTAGAATTTTCTAAGACTTTTTTTATTTCAGTAAAATTATTGGACGATTATTGTGTACCAGATAAGAGCTATAATCATGTTGATTTAATCTGGGCCAAAGATGTCGGACAATTGGTCAATAAAAGAGTTTTAAAAATATTATCATCAGTATAATTTTTTCATGAAATTTTTAATTTAAATTCAATATAATTTGTTGCTGAAAATATTCGATAGATACAGCATATGTACTCACAACACTAATGTGTAGTCGAGCTGATTAAATTAATTTTTTTTTTATTAATACATAGGTTAAAATCATCTGCTACTTAAATGAAAGATTAAAAATTCTTAAAACATGCTAATTATAATGACGACCGGTTTTACTGTATTTTTTTTTTTTTTTTTTTGCTACTGCCTTTCAAACAACAATACTATTTGGTGTTAACTTGAAATAACTTTAATAATTATATATCTTAATATATAAATCCTATTTCAAGGACAACTAGCTGATATGATTGCTATCTTATATCTGTATACAATTTTCGATTGATATTCTATTTTGATAACAAGAAAAAAAAATCGAAGAAATTTCAATTTCACATTTTTTTTCTCTTAACATAAATATTGATCATAACCACAAAAAAAAAAAATAAATAAATAAATAAATTGACTATTCTATTCTACTGGTGAAATCTTAATCTTTCGTCTATAAAAAAAAACACATTACATTATTAAATTAAATGGAATCCAGACCAGAAGCATTGATTACAAATCAAAAGACAATAAAAAAAACTAAAAATGTCTTTCTCAATAAAATCAACATTTCAATTGTTATTGTGACCATCATTTTATATTTAGTATGTTATTACACCACCGCTTATCATTGGATCACATTGATTCGAGCGATGCCTGGCACAAAACTGCATCCAGATGTTGATCGAGATATAGTAAGTGATTATAATTTTTATAAAGTCTATCAAAAAAATTGACTGATAAAATTTTATTAAAAATAATAGTTTGGAATAATTGAATCAAGAGGTTTTAAGTATGAAAAACATTTTATTACCACAACGGACGGATACATTCTGCAATTGATTCGATTAATTAATCCATATTTGAAAAATAATCAAACAGTTTCTAAGCCAGTATTGCTTCATCATGGATATTTTTGTTCGGCAACAATTTGGTTAACAGCAGCAAATGGTACACTTGATGAACATGGATTTTTTAATGAATTTTACGATTTCGATAATAAAATCTTGACAAATGGCAGCCAACAGGTCGGAAACAGTCTTGGTTTTGTTTTATCAGCAAATTTTTACGATGTATGGCTAGCTAATTACCGTGGAAATATTTATTCTTCTAATCATACTACACTGACAATCGATGGTGAGTGTGTTTTGAATCCAAAGATATTATAGAACTATCAATATCATTTAAAATATTAGATCCAGAATTTTGGAAATTTTCAATGGATGAAATGATCAAATATGATTTACCAGCAGAAATTGATTATATATTAGCCCAAACCAATCATTCTACATTAACGTATATTGGACATTCACAGGTAAATAATCACAAAAAATTAAAAGTAGAAAAATTTTAGTAATAAAAATAGTGTAGTAATAATAACAATCAAGTGGTATTTTAAACTGAAATTGTGCTTATAAATATATAATATGGTTTTAATAATTGAAAAACTAATTCAATAACAGGGAAACGTAATGATGTTTGGATTAATTTCATTAAGCGACGAATATATGAAAAAAATCGATGCCTTTATTGGTTTATCACCAGTTACGCATGGCCTCAAGAATACATCAATTCTCCGTTTTTATTATTACATACGAGGATTACTCAAGTATATGGAATGAATCAATTTCTTATCCTTGAATAATAATAACTTTTATTTATTTATTTATTTATTCATTTACAATCTCAGAGCCTATCCAAATTTGATAATATTCAGAAATCCAGCTCGACTTTTGATATCGAATATATGTCAGAATATAATGATAAAACCATTCTGTCAATATTTATTATACTTAACAGTTGGCATGCAAAAACATAATATGCTTTATGTAAGTCATTCATAACGAGCTCATACAATTAACCTGATTTTATAATGAATAACAGGAACGAATACCTGCTTATATTGATGCAATAACTATGGGTTCATCACCATGGAATACTGTTCAGTTTTATGGTGAACCACTTTGGTTACGTTATTTTGATTATGGTGAAGAGAAAAATTTACAGCTTTATGGCCAATCAGATGCACCATATTATGATTTTAGTAAAATCAATTCCACTAGGATTGCTTTGATTTATTCCGAAGTTGATTGCTTGAATCATATGGATAATGTTGAAAAATTGAAAAATGAATTGAAAGTAAAATTATGGGATGATTATTTAGTCCCGGATCCTACATACGATCATAATGATTTTTTATGGGCTAAAAATTCCGGACAATTAGTCAATACAAGAATTTTAAAATTGCTCCAATCAATACAGTGACGATGATTACTATTCGTTTGGATAAATAAATGAAAAAAAATTTTTGGATTTATTATGTGGACAAACTATCAAAAAAAAAAAAAATTAAAATATTATTGTCCATTTTGTTACTATCAAGCATAATGTAATTTTTGAGATTTTTTTTGATGAATAAATAACAATTTTTTGATGATATAAATAAAAAACATTTTTGGATGTTTGCCATCATCATTACAATGAAACGTGAATATGTCAAAATCAATTATATATCAAGATACCTAAGAGTATCAATCAAACATGAATGAAATGATTGGACATGTAATCAATTTTTTTATTGCTTTAAATTCATTCATCATTCATGAATGAATGAATGATTTGTTTTGAAAGCTATATATCCACATATTGATGCAAATAATTTGTTTCGATTATCAATTGTACATGGGCATAAAAAATCAATTGAAGATTTATGTCACTTATTTCTTAGAAAATGAACTTCAGTCATTTGATTCATCTTTTTTCCTGAATTCAGTTGCCGACAAATTTTTTACTCGTTGATTTTTTATCAGAAAAAAAATTATATCACTAAACAAGTATTAGATACAAATGAATGTTCGTATTAAAAAAAAAGCGAAATTGACAAATCACGCGATATTATTATCAGGTTTAAAAAAAAAAAAATTCAGCGCCTACAGAGAAGAGAATAGAGAGATAAGATAGTCTTAACTATCTAATAAACAATATGGTGAGGGTGGAAAGAGGAGGTGGTTGTAATGAATTAATTCGGACATGTATTCATTTTGCTATGGCAATTGGTACGTGCTATTTAAATGGTTCGTATAAAAATTTTTTCCGAATCAAATGAATGATATATAGGTGATGTATCGCTGGTACCACAAGTATAATGTTGGTTGGTGATGATCATATTTCATTCATATATTCACAATCGCCATCATCATCATCGTCATTTGTCGTTGTGGTACTAGTGATACAAGCAATGATTATTTCTAAAAACGATTGAATCGATCGATTATTTTGTCTCAATATTTTTAGTGATTGAATTATTGTGGAAAAAAATACGTACACAAAATGTGGAGTATAATTTTTTTCATATTATTAATTTTATATCTGGGACTGGCTAGTGTTGGTCATCGTTTTTTTATCCATCAATTATATGTTAGCCGATTATTGAAACTTTTCGATTATGGCAAAAGAAAAATTCGAAAAATTCAACAAAACATTCAACAGGAAAGAAAAATTCAACGAAAAATAAGCCGAGCCATGTCGGTTAATGCTAATCTCGACCAATTGGCAGATTTAGCCGCAAAAGCTGCAACGATGCCAGATTCAGATGAATCCGATGCTGATTCAGCTTTCTGTGAAGATTTTGATTCATCCGATGGTCAGTTTTTTTCATGTTTTTATTTTTATATCTATTTGACTTTGGTTTTGATTTCACAGTTCCTGCTGCATTTGCTTATAATAAAGCATTATCAATGGAGATGGATAAAACCAAACATAAACTTGATCTAAGTACGGTAATGAGTTTAACAACAATGGGAATACGAGCCATCATTGATGATTCGGTCACAAAACGATTTGCAGCTGAAGAATTAAAGACATGGAATCTTCTGACAAGAACTGATGGAATTTATCATTATAAATCATTGCGATTAGCTGTTGTTTGGATGGCTGGATTGATTGTTCGCTATATGATACTATTTCCTTCTAAGAATAGCCATTGCTTTAATCGGTATTTGGTTTCTAGTGACTAGTACATTTCTAGTCGGCCTCATACCGTTCTCATGGATGAAACGATTAGTTTATCACTATATATCAGTCATGAGTTTTCGAATCATATCTCGATCATTTTCGGCCGTCATCACCTATCATGATTCACTGAACAAAGCCAAACCTGGTGGTATATGTGTAGCCAATCATACATCACCTATAGATGTAATCCTTTTACATTGTAACAATGCCTATGCATTGGTTGGCCAACGTCAACCTGGTGTTCTTGGTTTTATTCAACGAGCATTGAATCGAGCTACACATCATATTTGGTTCGATCGTTTTGAAACAAATGATCGTAATTATGTATCACATAGACTTCGTGAACATGCGGAAGATAAAAGCAAATTGCCCATATTGATCTTTCCTGAGGGCACTTGTATAAATAATTCAGCTGTGATGATGTTCAAAAAAGGTAGCTTTGAAATTAATGCACCAATCTATCCTGTAGCTATTAAATATGATGCCCGATTTGGTGATCCATTCTGGAATTCGAGTAAATATGGCTATGCACGATACATGCTAATGATGATGACCTCTTGGGCTATTGTCTGTGATGTTTGGTATGTTTTCGACAAAACAAGTGAAAAATTTCGAATCTTAACCTTTTTCATTTAAATTTAGGTTCCTTCCACCAATGTATAGAAGAGAAGATGAAAGTGCAATCGAATTTGCCAATCGTGTAAAAAGTGAAATAGCTAGAAAAGGTGGATTAATCGATCTGGAATGGGATGGACAACTGAAACGTCAACGAGTCAAACCAGAAATGGTAAAACGACAACAATATAAATTGAGTAAAGCACTTGAAGTACAGGATAGTAGATAAGATTAACGGATTGGAATGATGGCTGATGTGTTTCGATAAATTTTGGCATAAACTTTGGATCGTACAAAATTTACCTGAATTCATCAATCAAGAAATTTTCACACATGAATATTGGCTGGCAACAATTGATTATTTGGACTATATATAGTGAAAAAAATGAATAATTATTGATTTAGTTATTGCCGATTGTATATCAAAATACTATATAGTGTTTTTGGGTTTACCCTTATATTTAGCTATAAAATTTCTAATCAGATTAAATTAGGCAAATATGCCATATCGATTTATATTTAAAAAAAATTGATTGAAGCGTTCTGTTGTTGTGAAATTCAAATTGAAGAATAAAAAAAAACACTGCGCAGAAGATCAATTAACGTGTATCGAAAAGATTTTATTGATGAATAGAATATAGAAGAACAAACAAACAAAAACAAGAATATATCAATGTGCGCATAACCAACCATATATTATCATCAAAACGCAAATTTAACCATAAATCATAATTTTTCATCAACATTTGGAAATAAATTTTTCTTGTTTGTTTGATATTGTTTTCATTCCTAACTAAAGTAAAATAGCTAATTATCAATTCTAATGAAAATATCTAGATTCCAATCATGATTTTACTGAGAGAAAATAAAAATGTGAACATTATGATCATGAAATCATAGCCGGAAAATTATCAAATTATGAATTGAATTTTGTATGATCAAAATTTGTATATTCTGAATATTTTCGATCCAAATTTTATGAAATTTTTGTGGTATTGATAATAACACAGAGTCGATTTATAACCAATTTATATGTCGAAATAATTGATGAAGTTGAAACAAGAATATATGAAAAAATATAGAATCGATATTTTGGAAATAAAAAGTATTGTTTTTTTTATATAAAAAAAACTTTAACAAATTATTGATTTTTTCCATTATCATTAAATGGCAAAAGTCATTTCTATCATTAATGAAATTCATTCATGTTAAATTGAGCTAATTTTATATTATTCAAATTTTCGCCACTGCTACCCTCATCATTATTGGTTAAACCTCTGGGAATTTAGACATTCTTGGCATTCTTTATTTATACGTTGTTCACTAGACTTTTGATTTGCATTTGATGTATTAAAAATAACGACAAACGATGGATTTATTGGAATTTTCTCCATACAAAGTCAAAAAAATTAATGAAATTTTTCATATTTTCTTCAACAATTCATTATTCTATGTTCAACGTTATTATTATTCAATGCAAGAATATGTCAAACATAATATAACATTTACATGGCGAAGATTATTGTTACCAACTTGGTTAGCAGTGAATGCCTGGTCAATGATCATATTCTTCATATTAGTAGTGTTTAGAAAACTACCTGATTATACATTTCTTGTGGAAATACCACTTACAGTAATGAAAATTAATAATTTTGATTTGCTTGTTTATTATGTTCTGCTCACGTACAGCCTATGGGAAATCAAATGGATGTCGACATTCAGATTGATTATCAACTATAAACTACCATTCAACAGCATATGTTTATCATATTGGCGTATTCGTGATTGTCGTCTAAATCGCAAGAATGATGAAAAATATCTTATAAATTTTTTCATAAAATCATCCTATACATGTGGAACTATTTTTCGTCTAAGTGTTTTTGGTTTGATTCCCCTATGGATAATGTTTCTCAAATATTTAAGCTCACTCTATATGAAGCAAGTAATCTCATTGAGACAATTTTTAGTCTGTTCGACAATGCTTATCGCTTGTTATATTAAAGCTGTACATATTATTGGTGAATTGATAATAGAGATGCTATTTTTGTTGTTCACAGCCGAATATCTCAAAATACACATACAACGGACCATTAAACTATTGTCATTGTGGATCATCTTTGCAAGTCGATATCGTATGTTACCACAATATTATTGGCGACAATATGTCATTGCATTCTCTCGTATTGGACGATTTAGAGTGGCAAGCAAACCATTTCTAATGCAAATAGAAATGGTGACCAAAATATCGTTCACTATGGCCATATTGTTCTATTGGCAACAATCTCAGATAAATATTTTCAACGGATTCATCACTTTAGTGTTTGTGTCAATGTTTTGTTTTCCACAGTTCCTCTATTTACGGTTAACCATGTTTCCTTACTATAATGAGTGTTTCTATAAATTAATGTTTTCATTGAATGCCCGTAAACAATTACGTATGCAACAATTACAAACCAATCGTAACATATCGAAGCGTTCACAACGTGTTTATAAGATAATGGATCGTTTGAATCTACGAGAAATGATTATGCGTAATTTACAGACACAAATAGCTTGTAAAAATGAATTTGGTTTCTATTGTGGTCCTTTCTTTTTCATAACTAGAGCTAAATTTGCTGAAATGTTTATTGCAAATTTTGTTTTCGCTATTATGGTTTATAAAAAAATTTGTTTATATAACGTAAATTTAGATATTTTAAATAATTGAATTCAATATATATTCATGAATGATTCAGATATGGTGAAAAATGAATAAAATAAAATGTTTATTTATTTTTAATAATCAAAAAAAAAAAAAAAAAAAATTTCAAACATTCAAAGAGTAATACATAATGTATAGATATAGAATTTGTTGTGGTAAAACTGGTAGCAAAAAAAAAAAAAAAAAACGGATAAAACACTCACTGAATAAATGAATTAAATTCAATTAAATTAGATTATAGTAGATAATCTGATAAAAGTATAATTATTTAGCACAAATACTTAAAACAGATATAATTAATAATTATATAAGTTGAATAAAAATACTAATAAAAATGATTGGATATAATTCAAAAGAAAATTATGATCATCATCATCATTATTTATAATAAATCGATGATCGATGCATCAATCAATTGATAAAACAACAATGACAAGCACAAACAAATAATGATCGAAAGCCAGAATCATAATGATGAGGAAGAAACAAAACAAAACAAAACAAAAAAAACGATGACAATCAATAAATTTGTCCATTTAAATATTCGTTGTATAGGAAGATAGGCATAAAATTATCATTAAAAGTTAAATATGATGTGCATGGTTTGTGAGTATACATGTAATCACTGTACTGGTGAAGATAAGCCAAAAGAAAAAAAAACCAAAAACAGAAAAATTGTTTGACTCGTCAATAAAATTGTAATTTTTCAGAAAATATCTGGTGGGTGTGTATTTCTATTGTTTACATACGTCATATGTATGTGGGTGTATATGAAAGAGATGTATACGTAATAATAATGAATAATAAGAGTATAACAACAAATCATGATCAATCAAAAAAAAAAAAAAAAAAAACTGAAAACAGAAAAACAAGATAAAAAGGAAGAACATGTTAACACATTATGTCTCATAGAATTAGAATGAGAAAAAATTGAGAAAAATAAGTTGAAGAGAATAAAAAACCGAAAACACAAGCCTACTACTGATGATGGTATTTTTGTTACATATATGTTTCACTTGTTTGGCACGACTTTTTCCATACTAATTTTGTCGTGATACATTGTTTGATTATACAAAAGAAAAATTAATATATAAAGAAAGTAATAGAAAAAAAATGAATCAAAATCAGAAAATAATTAACATCCTAGAATATTGTTATGTCATCATAGGAAATTCATATTGATTATTCAAAACAGGTTCCATTGAATTGTTTGTTCAATTGAAAAACTCGACTAGAGATAAAGAGAAAGAGAATGGGTGAAAATCCATTTTTTTTCAATAGAAAACGATTCAATTGAAATCAAGAAGAATACTTTTGTGGATAAAATATGCAAATATGCCAAAATGGCTCGAAAAAAAAATTTGACAAATTTAGTGCACACTATGGCCATTTTGATGTTTTTGTGTGAGATAAACAAATTTATAATGACAAGATGTTTCGTTGATAATAAACAGCATTGATAAAGAAGAAGAATAAATTTTAAGATTGAAAGAAAAAAAAGTTATTAAAAGAATTAAATGTATAAAAAAAAACAATAACAATGATAATAATGAGTTTGGGAATGCATCGATCCATTTGTGGATCGGTTCATAAATTGAAGACAAAATTGAAAAGGAAATGAAAAAAAAGGAAAGCATTTTTTTCTGAACGGAAATACAACTTGAAAGAAAAAACAGATCATATTTAGATAGGAGAAAAAGAAAGTATGTAAAATTCAATAAATTGTGTTTGAAATGTGCGAAAAGTGTCTTACATTGTCAATGAATATTTCTTCATTTACAATAATAAGAAATTCAAACAAACAAAAAAAATTATGATAATAATAAAACAACAATTGATAACGACGATAGTTTAAGTAGATGGTATGGTTACTATATAATTTCTATAAATGCGAAAAAAAATTGCAGCAAATTGCCGATGATCACAATGATGATGAATGTTTTTTGCCAATTATTGATATCATTTGTTGAGATGCGATGTAAATTTATCGAACAAGACGAACCAAATATTCTGTATGCGTTTCAACAATTCTAGAAAAAAATAATAATTTGTCTTGGCATTATTGATATCTCACAATGACGGTTGTTGTTGTTGTTGTAGTTGAGTCGATTGAGATTGTTGTTGAAAATTGGGATTCAAGACCAACACATGATGATTATTCTTAGCTAATGTTACGATATTATTGTCTTTGGTCAATTTTAAACCACAACATCGTGATACTTTACAATATGGACATTCATATTCGGCCAATAGGCGGCCATCACGATTAAATACTACGACATGGAATTTATTACCATGTGAATCGCCAACAAATATATCACCAGCCGGTGATATATCAATACCATTAGGAAACGAAGTCAAACCTTCCATTCCAATTTTTCTAATGAAATCACCATTCGAGTTGATGACAACGACACAATGACCTTTGAAATCGCAAATGTAATAATCATCTTCATAGATGGCTACATCGGAAGGTTCGCACATATAATTGCCACAATCACGCCATTCGATTAATGTGCCATTATCGATCGTAATGACATATATGGTTGGCGATACAGAATCTACGACAACTATATGGCCTCGATTATTGATAGCGATACCGGCTACAATATCGATATAACGAATCGGTATTTTTCGAACAAAACTTCCAGTTCGTGTGAATATTTGCATCCGAGAACGTTCCATTCCACGATCACATATTACATAATAGGGACTGTTAGTATTCGAACGGACAAAGCTTGGAGGAATCATCGCAATCTATTGACATGTATGGATTGTAATTAATACCAAAATGACATGATAAATGTTTACCTTTCTGGGATACCAAAGTTGACCTTCATCTTTTCCAGGATTTCCGAACATTTGTTTGCAAACGCCATTTTTATCATAAACACATATACGATGATTGTTCGTATCTGCGATAATAATCTCATCGCTTATTCCCAAACAGAATCCATGTGGCGATGAAAATTGTGATTTCAACTGACCAAGACTACCAAATTTATGGACAATCTGCATGATCTGATGGCTTTTCCCTTGACCAGTTGTATGAGAAGCAGAAGGATGTCCTGTAGGCGATTTGATGGTCAAAGGAGATCGTGATAAAACATTATTGTTGTTGGAAGCTGAAGCCGATCCGTTTCCATTGCCAAGCGTAGACATTGTGGCCATAGCTGATGCTGAACGGCCAAACATCAATGATTGATGATTGATGGCAGCAGCACCATGGGGACCTTCAAAAGTAAATGAATTGATTGAAGATTAATAAGCTTATCATCGATAAGATTGCTTTACCAGAATTAAGTTTGGCTAATTGATTCAAATTTTTCAAGCATGCATCAGTCAAAATCAAATCATTAGAACCAGTAGCGACAGCCGATGCAGAACCAGTCCCTCGATTTCCGCTCATGACCATTTGTCTTTGCTGTAAATCTGTCGATTTTCCAAACAAAGATGTTGTTGCATTCATTCCTGATACGTCTGGGCTTCGATTAGCTGAAAAGTAATCTATTGGACCACTTGATGGACTATATAAATCTATAAAGAAAGCGATTCAAGACAGTTGAAACAAATACGATTTGAAACAAACCTGTTGCCGAACTACTAAGGTCAGCATATGAATCCAAAATCAATGCACTAGCACATTGAGATTGTGGTGTATGAGGTGTAACAATCGAAGGTGAAGTAGCTAAGCCACCATTCCTTGCAGGAAACATTGGATTTGATGAACCAAATCCGGCCAGGGTGTTCGATGAAGTTGATGATGGATCACCGAAAATGTTTTTAACAAATTGATTGCAATCATCCATACGAAGAGGATGAGAGGCTTGTTGCGATACGGATGTTCTTCCAGCTAACAGCGATTGTGGTGAATTTAGTGTAGGAGAACCATTAGAATCAACCATATCGTAGAATGGACCAGTAGCGGAATTGGTCGTTGAACGGCCTGTTGCAGGAAAGCTTGCATTGTTTACATTATTTGTCATAGTCATTTGGATCGGTTTATCAATGAGAATGTCCTCTGTAAAACATAAGAATTAAATTCAAATCGCATAAATGATAATTGAATACAAACCCTTCTTTTTAGCTTTAGCAAAAGTGACCAATTTATGAAGCTCTTGGCTAGGACCAATTAAAAAGCTATCGCATTTAATGTGTTCAGCATTGGAGATATGACAAGCAATATTTCGATGACCATCAAATAATAATTGGCTAATAATCAAAGAAAAAATTTATCATATTAATAATCGCTTTGACTATAAAACCTGGCCATACCTAATAATTAAACGATATAATGTTTGTCGTTCACAGAATTGTTCCTCTTGTTGTTGAGATTGATCCAATGATGGATGAATACTTGGAGAATGGCCAACTGATGATGTTTGATGTTGTTGACCAGCAATTATATTTGATGGATTTGTCAATGTTTGATGCTGTTGTGGCAATGTCGATGCCGGTGACATATATTTTGACATCATGGACATTTGTTTATTTGCTGCTGACTGGGGGATAGGAAATTTTGCCATCGACGTTTGATTACGAAGTTGTTGTTGTTGTTGAGGTTGCTGATGTTGTTGCAATTCGTTTCCTTCCAACATGGTCATTGTGAAGCATTGATTCTGCAGCTGGACACTCGGATCATTGTCTGGATATTGTTTTAAAATCGATGTTGGTTGTTGATTAGTGGATTGTATTTGTGGTTGTGGTTGACTAGTAAAATGATCGGTTATTACTGTAGCAGATTCGACTGAAGAAACATTATCATCAAATGATGAAAACAATGAAGTTATATTGAATTCATTGAAAAAATTATTGCTGCCACCATTTGATGATGAGCCATTCTGAATAGTTGAACTATTGGTATTATTGAAGCCAAAATTGGATGATTCATCAACAATTGGTTGTTGTGGTTGACGTTGAGGATTTCGATTGATTGCTGTACGATTTGTACTGTTCAAGGAATTAAAATCAAATCCAAATTGATTGGAAACATTCGATGTCGGTGACTCTTTTGATTGAGTCAAAATTTTATTGTTATTGTTAGTAAATTGAGACTGATGTTGTGGAGCTGATGGCGGTGGTGTTATAAGTTTAGGAAGTCCATCAACAAGATCATCTATCAATTGACATTGATTCATTTGCAGTAACATTGATAAAGCATTTTCATCGGTAGTAGATCCACTATTACCGATTGATACTGTCGCGAAATGGGCTGGTGACGGTGCCATTGAAGCCGATGATGATGAGACTGACCCAACTGGGAGAAATTTATTAGGCGATAATGATGATTCTGGTGATGCTGGACTTGTGTTGCTATTAAAAAGCATGTTGGAATTCTGTTCAACTAAGCCTAGTCCAGAATTTCCGTTTATCCCTACACTGCGGGAATATGAGTCAGAAAGAGATCCTACACCGCTCGAAGGCCCACTTGAAACTGATGCAGCACTTGAACTTGTATTACGTTCAACTTGAGTACTGCTATTAGTATTTGTCTGTGTTCCACTACCATTATTAATAATGGCCATCTTTATTGAACAATCGGATGGTGATTGATTTTGATAAATGGTAAATTTTCGCAATTGTTGCTGCTGAAACAAAGAAGGTTCGACCATTGTTGCCGATGAAGTTGTTGTATCGTTTGATTCGAATTCGTTTAGTTTAGTCAAAGTTGGGATTGGCGATTGAAATGATTGAAAACCATCCGTCACAGATTGATGTGATTGATTTTCAAAATATTTTATTGAAGCAGTTAATTGATTATTGTTGGAAGTAATCGTATCATTCGAAGGCGGAATGATAGATACAGTCGATGTTATTGCCGAACATTCATCATCATTATTCTCATCGCCATTAATATCATCATCATGATCAACATTGTCTTTGGAGTCAACATTCAATATAATTGCTTTATTGTAATTATTATTAGATGGCAATGTTGATGTTATGGTTTCATTGAATCGATTATGATCAAGAGGAGTAGGATGTTCAGATTGGGTAGATTGACGCTTACAATTATCAAGGTCCTTGAGAGCATTGTTGCCAGAATTATCATCATTATTCTGATGTTGATAATTGGTCCCATATTTTATTAGTATCATCAATAATGAATTCAATTGTCTCATCCATTGATTATACAATGATGTATGATCAGACGATAATGATTCGAATCTTTCGAAAAGTTTGGAAAATATTTGAAAAAATTTCAAACGATTACCCACAACTATATTATTAATGCCATCATCGTGGTGGTGGTCGGATTGATTTAATTTCATTAGGATCTCATATAAAATTCTCAACAAATGTTGCAAGATTGAATGGAATAATTGGTGCTGTTGTTGACAATTATTACTACTATTATAATTATGGCTAATTATGACATGGGAAGACAGTTTTTCTTGTTTTTGTGGCTTATGATGGTTGACAATGTTATTGTCGATCAAATCAATTGATGATGATTGTGGAGACAGCGATGAGAATGGGGATGGTGATGATTCGTCATTATCATTGCTACCACAAACTTTAAATCGCTCATCATTAGTAATCCAAAAGAGATGTGTACGTATCTCTCTTGCCAATTGTTGGCACAGATCTTTTTGTTCAGCATGTACGAATCTAGCTTCGATTGACATTAATAGTTCACAGAAATTATATAAATATGTCATTGCATCTCGATGTTGTAGCCATGTAGGTGATGAATCAATATAAATTTCATGATCGTTATCATTATCATCATCATCATCATCAGTATTAATAGATTGATGATGAATCGGCCAATAGACGAATATTTCATCTACAGACGTCATTGAATTTGATAATAATGTTTGATCAAGAATTTCTCGTACACGTAATGTGCATTGTTTTTCATGAAATGATTGTAAATATTGCTGTTTGAATCGTTCAAGCCAATTTTCATCAAATGTTTGTGGACAACTGGAGAAGAAAAAAAAAGAATTTATTAAAAAAAAACAACAATCTATGTCAGTGTGTACAACAACAAGGCAGCTATCTATCCTATAATTCCTTCTATGTCATTTCCTTTTCAAATGTAAAAAATTCCATGTAAAAAATCGATAATAAATAAAATGTCGCTGTAAACATTATGGACATTAATGAAAAAAAAGGATGACAGCTTAATAGAAAATTAAAGCAAATGCAAAAAAAACAATTAAACAGAAATTCGGGTTCATAAACAACAAATACATTGTCTACTGGATTGGAAACAAGGAAAAGATTATTTCCTTTTTAATAATAACAAAATTTTCATGATGAACAAGTCTCCATAATGATCATAATCATGATGACGATGATAGTATTTCAGATAAACAAGATTTATTTTGTGTTATTTTATGATTATCATTTGGAATCCAATATGAGAAAGAAAAACCTACGCATCTTTGAAGTAAAACAACTCTTGGATTCGACTAGCTGTTTGGCATGACCATTCGATATGTACATTAAAGTTGGTTATATTGTCAATAAACACCTACGCCATTATTGATACTAGGAATTTTGAAATGCCTAAAGAATAAACATTTCGAAATAGTTGAATAATATAAAAGTAATCTTGAAATTCACTTTCATTTATTCATGTATTTCATTATTAAACATACAACCAAGGCATAAATTCGTTTAGGTTTTTATTTTTCGAATTCCAGATAGTAGAAAATTCTGGATGTTTTTCATTGGAAAATTTCAATAACAACTTTCTGTTTTTAGAGTCGATCGATCCAATGTCAAGGATTTTAGATTCCTAGCTAGATTTGAATAGCAATGAAACAAAAAATTCAATGTCATAATCATAATCAATCTACAATCATTGTTCTACTTTTGTTCATCTTTCCTGGTTTTTTATTCCGATTGTGTATCATTATGTAGGATAGGAACAAATGGAAAAGGCAACCTTCAAATTTATTCTCAAAGGTCGAGGCCAAGTAGTGGTAGTGCAGCGAATTTCAATGGCAACGAATTTCTAGTGATGACGAAAATCAAAGACCATAAATTCAGCCACAAAACTACATTCAAACATTTAGCAACAGACAAGGAAAGACAGCAACGGCATTGACGCCAATCGCCGGCGCACGAGTTTTCATTATTCTTTGTTCAAAATTTAGATTCTCTATAGTTATTCATTCTTTGATTCTGTTCTTCAGACAAAATATTCAAAATCTAGTTCAATGTTATGCCATTGAAATCGGTTAGTGGTAGTCGTAAATTGGGTGTTTTTGTTTGTTTGTTTGTTTGCTATATAATACATGACGCCCATACACCCACAAATAAAAAATAAACAAACACCAATAAGAACCACATCATCACTTTCCAGGGACCCGAGATTTATTTCTGGTTTTTTCATTATATTCCACTATTTCGTAATGGATGCGCTTACGCATAACTAAATTATATATAGCACATGACTCCCTGATGTTTGTTCGATTATTATTGACTATATGGATTGTATGGACCTTGAAACAATGAAAGGAACTTTCAGTGAAGTTTTTTTTCTTCATTTCATGTTTTCATTTTCAGTGTCAAGTTCATGACATATATTTTCTTGAAGCAGTAACCGTCTGAAATGTGGACAATAAAAAGAAAAGAAAAAGATGGCTGCTAGTAATCGTTACGAATTTCAATGAGCAATAGGAACATAACAGTTGTTTGGTGGTATGTGTTTTTTTATCGAACATTTTCTGAGATAACTTAGAAGAAAGCTATAGAATTTGACGTTTACAATGGATTGGATTCAGTTTGTAATGACATTCGTTTTTTTCTCATATATTTGATTTGATTGATCTTACGTGCGTCATCTACAATGATTAACCGACGTCACTAGGCGATTAAAAAATTCCTGAAATTTCATTGGAATTGTGGAAGAAATTTTATTGATAAATTTGCTAGAATCTACTAAACCCAATGATTTCATTATTGGTTCATTAAGAATTTTAAACGAACCTTAGCAACCGATCATTCATTCAAATAATCGAATTAGTTCACATGAACCAATGAGAGATCGAATAGATTTTTTTTCAACAACAAGATGAAAATATCCATGAAACGAATTTAGAATTCAAAGAAAAAAAAACAATGACAATTATAAGGAATATGATATGATATAGTGTTATATATAGAATGAATACTATACTATAGAGGCAATCATCATTTCTATTTATCATTCATGAATATCTTCATAACAAAAATAGTACAATTCGATTCGACAATAATACTTATGATGATGATGATGTTGATCATGAAAATGACGATCTAATGACCTTCAAACATGAAAAAATTGAAATTTTCTTCAATTTTTGTTGCACTAATTTTTTTTCATGATATACGTTTGTTTAAAAATAAATATATGGACAATCGATCATTCACAAATAATGAATGTTTGTCCATATAATTCATTCATAACATAATCATTATGTAAGGTATATGTATGTTGTACCAAACAACAAAAATACGCATAAACAATATTTTTCCTTGGCATTGAATTGCCCATACTCTCTCTCTCTCTCTCTCTCTCTCTCTCTCTCTCTCTCTCTCTCTCTCTCTGGTAAATACACATCATTAAGGAGCTATATGTGTATATTATAACGCATGGGCTTTCTTTTTCATAAATTCATTGAAAAAAAAAAAAATTTTGACATAATAAAAAAAAATCCGTTTACGATGTATATGGCCAAATTATTGAAAAAAAAACACTACAAATGAAATAATAATTGCCTTATCGATAACAGACGAAGGCAGAAAATTGAAAAAAAACTAATCTTTCATCAATAAATCAGATATTTTTTTTTCTATTTGAAATTGCATAATAAATAAATAAATAAATTCCATTGTATCATATTAAACCATTATTAGAAAGAAGAAATTTTTTTTTTGAATCAAAATCCAACTACAAAAACCATCAAACACCTGAACAACAAAAAAAACGAGCATCCTTTTTCTTTCTATTTTTATTGTTTTTTTGCTTCGTTTCAGTTTTCATTCTACTTTTTCATTCAATTTTTTTTCTGTTGTTTTTTCTTCTAATGGTTTCAGATTTCACACTTGAATTTTTTTTTCATTTTATTTACTATTAAAAAAACACTTGAACTTTTGATTCTTCTCTCTCTCTATCTATCTAGTGTGTAGCCACATCGTAAATGATACATTCATCCATTCATTCATTTTATGAATTGATGAAATGTCGTCAATGTCAACTCATGATGATGATGATTATCAATTACGAAATTTAATGCCGAAAGAAAACAAATATGAAGAGAGAGAGAGAGAGAGAGAGATTTTCAGCAATAAATGATGCCATTATTTTCTTTGATATATTATAAAAGAAAAAACATTTCCAATTCATCATCATCTTTCAACTTTAATCATCTTACACGTATATATAATATAAAATATATAAAATATATAATCAACGTCATCATCATTATACATTTACTATGGGTACCGTAATCAATCAATCATTCGATCGATCAATTTGAACAATCAATTTATCAATCAAAGAATGAATGATAATAATAATCCTAATCCTAACTAAATTTTATAAAGAGTACATATGTTATATCCGTACACACACACACACACACACAAAGTGTTGTTGTTGTTGTTGTCGTTTTAAATTTCTTGTTACAATGAAAAAAAAACGAATGTAAAGACAAAAAAATTCAATTCAATATCAAAATATCAAACTCAACTAAATTAAATGATATTCTATGAATTCAAAAAAAAAATTGGACATTCAAGAAAAAATAAATGTCTATATAAAGAAATCAAAGAAAGAAAAAAAAAATATATATATTTGAAACCGACAGACACTAGTATAGACAACAACAACAAAATAACACTGAATACAAATGTAAAGAGAAATTTTTATTATTTTTTTTTTTTCGGAGAAACTCAAATTGTGTTTTTCAACCATTTTGAAGGTCAATCATCAAAGTAATATATTACTATTAGTATATATATTCAAAATCTAAATAACCAACCAATTGAATGGATGGATTCTCTCTTCATGTATATGTGTGTGTGTGTTGTTAAACAAATGGCGTTTATATATACGAAATGAAAAAAAAAAAAACTTTACATCATTTTATGATGTGATGATTTTTAGTATTACAATGTAATAAACATAAAGACAGAAAAATTTTTAAATATTTTTTCCCACTATATATAATATATATACACATGTGTGATGTGTGATTTAATGACAACTAAAACTAATCAAAAAGTTTGTAAATATATACACATACAAAACAGGTATATATATATAGATGATGGAAAAACATTGAAAAAAAATCGTTATCAGTGTGAAATAATAATAATAATCATATATTTATAAAGCAAGAAACTTTCATTCATTCAGGAAGACTGAAAAAAGATGGATATAATTGAAATACTCTCATTTAAAAGCTACTTAGACATTAAAAATGTAACTGGTCAAAATGCAAGAAGAAAATTAACTTACATTTGATGTAATAATTTACGAATAAATAGATCATCAATCATGATTGTATAATTTTTATTCATAAATCGTTGTTGTTGTTGTTGTTGTTGATGATGATTTTTTCTTATCAACATCATTGTCGTCGTCGGCGTTGTTGTTGTTGTTGTTGTTGTTGTCAAGGTGTTTTTGTTGTTTATTGTAGCCAATATTGAAATCGTGTCGTCGTCCTGATGATGTTTAACGTTTATATCACTACTATCAACAACAGCAATAACGGCATCATTATCGTTTTCATTATCATTTAAACATTTCAAATGATGATGATGATTCTTTTCATTGTCATCATCATCATTCATTAATAATTGACTAGTAGAAGTGTTGTTAATTTTATTCTTCATAATTGTTGTTGTTGTTATTGTTGCACATTGTTTTTGTTGATGATCAGATTTTTGATTTTTTGTATCAAATATCTCGGTAACCACAGGTCCATTATTATTCACTAATTCGGCAGCTGATTTTGTTGTTGTTTTGGTTGAATTTGAAAAATCCAATTCTAAACTAATTGTTTCCATTTCATCAAATACGTAATAATAATTTGTTACATTACATTAAGAATTATTATTTTTTTTGGTACATTTAAGATTATATAAATTTTTTTTTCATATATAAATATTTATGTTGACTAAAGTATTTTCATCATTGAAAAAAAAGATTGTAAAAAAATAAAAAAAAATTGGTCATCAGAATCGATTTGTCCTAATTATAATAATAATAAAAGAAAGAAAGAACAAAAATGTTGTTCGTTTTCAATTGAAATATACGTTTACATATAAAATGAGGTAAAGAAGATCAAGAGAAAAAAAAAAAAAAAAAAAATTCAGATATATCTTAAGTAATAGATGGAGAAAGTAGATCTACAAAAAGAGAGAGAGAGAGAGAGAAACGTTTTAAGTTTTCAATTAAATTCATTCGAATAACTTACCTATATATTTATATGGAAATTCAATCAGTACCATCATCATACACATGTGCATAGCAGAAAAATTGACAATTGATTGATTTGGTCAATTTTTAAAATTGAAAGACCAATGCCAGGTGTATTTGTTGAATAATAAACATAAACCCGCGAATACGACGATATGATAATGGGTAAAAGGGAAAAAAAAGTCAACAAACATTTATAAACAACAAACAAATTATCAAAAAAACACACACAAATGTACACGATTGAGAATAACAACAACAACAACAAAAAGAAAAGTGAGATGAAAAAAAAAAATTTTTTCAATTTGATTTGAAATTACAATGGGTCAATATAATGAAAACAAAAAAATTCCTATATTTTCAACAATATTGTTATGTGGCGGTGATAAAGTGAGAATGTTTTATGCGTTTTTTTTTGCAAGTATATAATGATTGTAAACATTAGATTATAGATTTTATATCGTAGAATTTGTTTGTAAAATATCAAAAAAAAAAAAAAAACAAAAACAATAAAATGAAATGGAAAATATTAAAAACAGGAAAAAAATTAAATAATTGATAAAATTATATAATAATTTGTCTAACAAAAAAAAATTAAAATTTTAAAACTGGCGTGGCAATTATTTATAGATTGATGAATGCAATATATGTCGTAATTTCATTGGTTGATCAGTTTTTATTTTCTTAGTTATAATAAATTTGTTTTAGGTACGTAAGGTAGGTAGGTAGATTGGTTGATTGGTTGAAAGCTGCAGCAGGTGTATTACGGATTTGGCATACATTTCCGACCGATTAATTTTTTTGATACATATATCAAATTAATATATGCTGACGTATTTCATTATGTTTGTTTTTTTTTTGATTTCAAGCTATTTGTAGTTTGTCATTGTACAACATTGAAAACACACTATATTATTATCGCTGTCACATTCATACACACACACACAAATAACATTCATTCATGATGAAGTAGATTTTTTTGCAAACAAACATCGCCAATAAAAAGGTATGATGTGCGCGTGAGAATCATTTATAATTGAATGATCTATGTATTGTATAAAGAAACAAAACAAAACAACAACAACAACAACAAAAAAATCATTAAAAAGTTTTCAAAATATTGTATTTTATAAGAAATAACAGAAGCATATAAAAAAAAAAATGACAATTGTCAAGACGAATTGTCGAATTTCGAAAATGCAAGTAAATGCTTTCTAATATTTTGTATTTGATTGCCAATACAAGAATCTGATTGATTATTGTTCATCATTTTTTTTCCTATTTCTTACAACAAAAAAAACAGATGAACAATTCAATTCAAAAATATTATTTCTGGTATTTGCATCTGTAAATGATCGCAATGATGTTATAAAATTAAGCTTACGTTACAATAATGATGATTGAAACAGTTTTTTTTTGGATAAAAACTATTCACATAAACACACACACACGTAATGATGATGAGCATGATGATGATAAAAATAATAAACGATATATAATTCGAATTAGAAAACAAAAAAAAAAAATTTGATGACTTGTTGGACTGGTACAAAATAATACAATTCGATAGTGCAATTCGATGATCATCACAATGTATGAAATTTTTAAATTTAAATTTGAAAGAAATAATAAATTAGAAAACAATAGATTTTTTTTTAAACAAAATAAAACTAAAAAAAATTCTGGCTACTGGTTTGAACATTCTTTGGTATTCAATCATCAATCATTATTTTGAAAAACGGCCGCGTCCACACACTAATATACACACACACACGCACATACATTATAACTCAACACACACACTGTACACGATTCAAAATCCAACTGACGGCAACCAATATCAAAAGACGTCGATGACGACAATAAACACGCATCCATAAATCGACAGAGTAAACAACAATCATGGAAAAACGCGCCAAATCGGATGGAAACACGTACATGTTTTTTGTGTGTGTATATTGAATCATTGAATACAAAACTGAAATTAGAGCCAATCTTTGAAGAATGTGTATGTAAAAGGCGTCAAAAACATGTAGCTGTATTTTTTTTTCTGTTGTAGTGGTACTTTATTTTGAGTTTGATCATCATTGTATCCAAGTTGGGAAACGAAGAAAAAGGATATATCCATTTAAAATTGATTTGAGTCGACTCTATTGATTAATGATGGATAATAACACATTTCAAGGATAATGAATTCCGAATCATTACGCCATCTTTTGATTGTTATTTAAAGTTTTTTCTTTAATTAAAAATTATGAAGTTTCCCGAATTTGTAAGAACAGTTTGTTCTCTCAAAATACTTGACGAATCGATTTTTTAGATATTTTTTGTTGCCATAAAATATTCAAAAAATTTTTTAGAAAAAAAACAACAATAACACAACCTTGTAGCTCATTGAATTAAACAATAATTGAATGAATGAAATTGAATATACAGAAACACAGACAAATCATAAGACTATCTAATCAATAAATTGATTTGATCATTGTTCTTTATGCCATTCTAATCAAAAATAATCATTATTATTTGAATCATGAAAACAAAATTCCCAATAATAGTCAATTTTTTTGAAAAGCTAGTATCTAACAATACTTTAGATTTTCATTCATTCTTAAAATTTTCACATTGTCATATGACCAATGATTCTGTTTCATAACAAATGGTTGTTCGTATGTACATTATTTATAATACATTTATTATTCATAGTTCTATACTAAAGTACAAATGAATGTACCACACATTTCCTTTATCGATTATGACATTATTTTTTATGTTATTATAATAATAATAGTGACTGAGAATTTTAATATTATTCACAAACAAAATCTCTCAATGTTACTTTTTTTCAATTTTACTTTTTCTAAATTTTTTTTTAAACACCAACATTTAGCCATCGAAAGCCGTAACAAACGGTCATAATAACTAAACATGAATTTTTCTGGTATTTGTCATGATGAATTAAAATTTATAGTTGAAAAAAATGGCGATCGTCAATATCGAAGGAAATGTCGATTGGATTCATGTGTATTTTATATAATTATCACTCGTTTAGTATCGTGCATCATAAGCTACGCAATTGATTCAACACCATCTGATTCCAGATTATGGCAAATTGATCCATATAGTATAAACATCTATGTAGATCATAAACATCTTTACATTAATTTCATGATATTGATTTTAATGATAGTGCTTATTTTATTTCGAGCACAACTATCACTTTATAATCAACCAAATGTACTTTCTGTTTCATTTCAATTACCATATGATCTGATCGTTATCAATCGACAACAATATAACCAATGTTTGTTGTCAGAAGAGGAATTGCGTGACAAAATTGATGCCAAGCTGGCTAATTTTCACGAAAACATTGATCGAAACAATTTTAAAAGATGGTTTTATCGTCATTTGATAATTTTACAATTATGGTTCAAATTAGAAAATGTTGACCATAAACGATTGGCATCCTTTGCAAAATTTAATACTTTAGCGACCATGTCAATGAATTGCAGACAGAAATTAATCATTACCCAAACTATTCTTGAAAAATGTTTTCGATTTTTTAAAATCGCTTACGGTAAGATTAAATTTACAGGATTAAAGTCAAATAAAATTGTTGACCGATAATTTTTTTAGGTCCATTAACATTACAAATTTTTTTCCATTCATATGAAAATCTCTATCAACCATTTAAAATTTATCTATGGAATCGATTGCTGCTATTTATCGGAGAAATGTTCCTGATAATCTATTTCGTATGGCTAATATTACGATTTATATTCTTCATTTCCACACTACAATTGTTAATCGTTACCTATGTCATTTGTCAGATCGCTGAGATGAAACATCGATTGCGTAAAATTGAAACCAATTTTTCAATGAAAATCGATTACCTATTCATACCAACAATTCGTGGTCGATGTTTGCCTATTAAAATGATACAACAACTTTGTGTAATACATCGTGAACATTTACGACTATCCATTTATTATTGTAAATCATTTCAAGAAGTATGGGGATCATTTTTTTTCGTATTCATTGCATTTAGCATTCCAATCCATGTGATGAGTTTGGTTTCGCTAAGATCGATGAGTAATGATTCCCATCATTTGCGATTACAAGTATATATTACGTTCTTTGTTCATAGTTTAACATTAATCGCTGCACTAAGCACTCTGGCTATACAAACAAGTCTTCTACATAGTGTCTCTAAATATTTGCCAGCCATCATTCCTGAAATCAAATATACTAGATTTAAATTACGTTTTGGAAATTGGTTTGATAGATTAACGAATGGAAAAAAATATGGACCTAGTTTCGAACCAATTGGTACAATTACTGGTCATACTGTACTCAATGTATGTATAATAATTTAACATCAATTTAATGAAAAAAAATTATTAATTTTTTTCTCTCATCCGATTAGATTCTTTTTATTTATGTAGGAATGTTATTTTTCATTTTAAAACATATAGAAACATTCATGAATGAATGACCAATCGAAAAACAGTGTCCTTAATTAAATTTTGTAATAAAAAATTTTTAAAAATAATCATAAAGCAACATTGATTTTCTTTTTCTAGTTGCAATGACAGTAGAATCTGGAATCAAAGGCCTAGTCGATGATGAGTTTTTTATCACTTGATATCACAGATATGATGGTATAAATAATAATCTGAGTATTGTTTTCTTTAGTCGAATCTATCGCTATTATTTCGGATTGTTTTATGGGTAACATGAAATTTTGATGATTAGAAGGATTTTCGTCATTATTATTAAATTCTATTGGACGATCATGAGCTGGCGGTTCCATTTGTTTATGATAAGATGATGATGGCTTCGGTCTTATGGACATTATCAACATTTCATTGCCCGATTGGGCATAAAATTCTTCACACCACTCATGTCAATTTTACTCATTAACCGTAAAATTGACGGTATCTTTTCACAGCGTTTATAAATGTCCAAAAAATGTAGGGAAAAAAACATTAACAACACAACCTTGTAGCTTAATGAATTGATCGTTGAATTAAACAACAATTTAATGAATGAAATCAAATACAAAGACAAATCATAAGACTATCTAATCTATAAATTGATTTTATTATTGTTCTTTCTGCCATTCTAATCGTAAATGATGATTATTTGAATCATGTAAACAAAATTCCAAATAATAATCAATTTTTTTGAAAAGCTAGTATCCAACGCTACTTTATATTTTTATTCATTCTTAAAATTTTCACTTTGGTTTCGAATTTTGTCGCAATGATTCTGTTTCATAACAAACCACGTGCCCTTAGAGGAGTATATAGTATAATATAAATGAATGTACCATACATACATTTCCCTTATCGATCTTGGCATTATTTTTTAATGTTATTTTAATGATAACGGTGGCTGAAAATTTTTTTATTATTCACAAACAAAATCATTACAAAAATTTCCATTGTTATAATATTACAAAATGATTTTTTTCCCCAACATTTAGCCATCGAAAGCCGTAACAAACGGTCATAATAACTAAACATGAATTTTTCTGGTATTTGCCATGATGAATTAAAATTTATAGTTGAAAAAAATGGCGATCGTCAATATCGAAGGAAATGTCGATTGGATTCATGTGTATTTTATATAATTATCACTCGTTTAGTATCGTGCATCATAAGCTACGCAATTGATTCAACACCATCTGATTCCAGATTATGGCAAATGGATCCATATAGTTTAAACATCTATGTAGATCATAAACATCTTTACATTAATTTCATGATATTGATTCTAATGTTAGTGCTAATTGCATTTCGAGCACATGTATCACTTTATAATCAACCAAATGTACTTTCTGTTTCATTTCAATTACCATATGATCTGATCGTTATTAATCGACAACAATATAACCAATGTTTGTTGTCAGAAGAGAAATTGCGTGACAAAATTGATGCCAAGCTAGCTGATTTTCATGAAAACATTGATCGAAACAATTTTAAACGATGGTTTTATCGTCATTTGATAATTTTTAAATTATGGTTCAAATTAGAAAATGTTGACCATAGACGATTGGCATCCTTTGCAAAATTTAATACTTTAGCGACCATGTCAATGAATTGTAGACAGAAATTAATCATTACCCAAACTATTCTTGAAAAATGTTTTCGATTTATTAAAATTGCTTACGGTAAGATTAAATTTACAAAAGTCAAGTCAACTTAAATTGTTGACCGATAATTTTTTTAGGTCCATTAACGCTACAAATTTCTTTCCATTCATATGAAAATCTTTATCAACCATTTAAAATTTATCTATGGAATCGATTGCTGCTATTTATTGGAGAAATGTTCCTGATAATCTATTTCGTATGGCTATTATTACGATTTATAATTTTCATTTCCACACTACAATTGTTGATCTTTACCTATGTCATTTGTACAATCGCTGAAATGAAACATCAATTGCGTAATATTGCAACCAATTTTTCGATGAAAATCGATTACCTATTCATACCAACAATTCGTGGCCGATGTTTGCCTATTAAAATGATACAACAACTTTGTGTAATACATTGTGAACATTTACGACTATCCATTTATTTTTGTAAATCATTTCAAGAAGTATGGGGTCCATTTTTTTTCATATTCATTACATTTAGCATTCCAATCCATGTGATGAGTTTGGTTTCTCTAAGATCGCTCAGCAATAATTCTGAATTACGATTACAAGTATATATTGTGTTCATCATCCATAGTTTAATATTAACCATTGGACTAGGCATTCTGGCTATACAAACAAGTCTCTTACATAGTGTCGACAAATATTTGCCAGCCATCATTCCTGTAATTAAACACACTGGATTAAAATTACGTTATGAAAATTGGTTCGAAAGATTAATGAATGGAAAAAAATATGGACCTAGTTTCGAACCAATTGGTACAATTACTGGTCAGACTCTTCTCAATGTATGTATAATAATTTAAAATGAATTTGATGAGAAAAATTATTATTTTTTTTTCTCTCATCCGATTAGCTTCTTTTTATTTATGTAGGAATGTTATTTTTCATATTAAAACATATAGAAACATTCATGAATAAATGAGCAATTGAAACACAGTATCTTTATTTAAAATTTGAAATAAAAAATTTTATAAAAATAATCATAAATCATAAAGCAACTTTAATTTTCTTTTTAATTGTTTTGATCCAATTTTTCGAACGATTTGTATCGACATTTTTCATCGATACTGTTTGACTACTAGTTGCAATGACAGTAGAAGCTGGAATCAAAGGCCTAGTCGATGATGAATTTTCATCATTTGATATCACAGATATGATGGTGTTATTTATAATCTGAGTATTGTTTTCTCTTGCCGAATCTATCGTTATTATTTCGGGTTGTTCTATTGGTAACATGAAATTTTGATGATTAGAAGAATTTTCGTCATTATGGTCATTATTATTATCAAATTCGATTGGACGATTATGAGCTGGCGGTTCTATTTGTTTATGATGTGATGGTGATTGCTCTGGTCTTATGGACTTTATCAATCGATTCATTGACCAATCGGGTATCGAATTCGTCATACTACTCATGTCAATTTTACTCATTAACCGTAAAATTGACGGTATCGTTTCACAAGCGTTTATAAATAATCGGTATCAATATACGTTGACATTTCTCGATTGCCAAACCAGCAGCAAACATGGATTGGAATTTACAATCATGAGATTTAAAAAAATCCGGCGACAATATAATGATCATTCGACGACATTGTGTTTCGATTAGCCTAGCGAATGTTTCATATACCCAATTTCCTACCATAAGATCTCTATCGCGAACAAATAAACGAAATCCAACAGCAGGTGTTTCAAGGTATTCAGTAAGACTACGAACGAAATCCAAATCTGAATCAGCATAACAAACATATGCGTCATACCAAATGGTTGATTCATGTTGAATAGGTACAAGCTTTTGTTCCGATTGATTATGGTCACGGTTAATCCGAATGATCACATCGTCCAAAATCACTGGAATCATGTCGTCGAGAATATCGAATCGGCCAATCGATATGAGCAATTCGAACAGGTCAAATACGCTTAGTTTTGCAACCTGTTGATAGCTCAATAATGATCCACAAGGATCGAATAGTTTTTCCAATTGAGTAATCTCGGAATATGATAGATTTAATTGTTGTGCTATACCTCGATAATCACGAGCAAGACCACAATCAGACATCAAAATTTGTTCGACGTTTAAATATGAGGATAATTGCTGCCGTCGATTCAACGGCAAATCTCTTACAGTCAATTCGGTAAGACGTTTATCGATTTCATAAGCCATAATTTATATGCGATGGCGAAAAAAAATTAAAAAATTATAAATATGAAACATTCATTCATGAAAACAAAACTGATTTTTCCATCATCATCAAATATATTTACTGTTTACACTCACGAAATTGCATCTCGAAATTTCAACCACTACACGATCTGTACATAGATAACGTGATCGAATAAATTACACATGTGTTTGTCCATCAAGTTTTTCGTGGAAAAATCTAAAATGAAAATCTTAACCAATCTAGCCTTTTCCGGTGAGCATTTTGTTAATACCGATCTTTTTGTTTTAATATAATAATAAAAAATACATTTTTCATTTTCATAGTGTTACGACAAAAATGTTGGACATCAAGAATAATCAATACGAGTCGTATGATGTGTTCAAACTCATCCGAACCGAAATCTTGTCTCGATGAAGATCTAGTAAGTTAATAGTTCCGGATATTTGATTAAACTAAATCAACTTTTTTTTACAAAGCCGGATCCAAATATGATCAATCCATATCTAAAAGAAAAACCACAATGCATTTTATGTCGTTATGGAATTGAAATTGATTACAAGGTAAACACATTTTTTCGCAAAAGTTTGCTAATTGTCACAATTTTCACTTTGTTTACAGAACGTTCGTTTGTTGAGTCAATTTGTGTCACCATATACAGGACGTTTATATGACAAACATATTACCGGTCTTTGTGAACATCAACATCGAGCTGTACGAAAAGAGCTTTCCCGTGCTGTTCGATTTGGTTTTATGTCGATGTTCTATCGTGATCCAAAATTTAACAGTGACCCGAAATTGTTTGATCCAACTAGACCTCAACGTGCTAATCCATATTAAACTCAAAAATCATCATTGTAGATTCATTTTTTGCATCGTTTAAAGTTTTATTATCCCAAACAAAAAAAAAACTAGAAAATTAATTGCTTTCCATTGGATCTAGATTTTATCTCTAGTGATGTCGTTTCCACTTTACTTTCTATCGCTTGTTGTTTTCGTGTACTTGCCATATCATCCGTTTCTGATTGTTCAAGATTGCTATGATAGAATGGTGGCAGTTTTACTGGTTTTGGTCTATTGGATTCCATCATGGCCACAACTACAGGTGATATAAATGGATTAGGACTATTGGGATTATTCAATAATGGATTGTTCGATGCTGAATTGGCCGTTGAGCATTCAGTAGGACTTTGTTCGTATTTGACACGGAAACCTTCTTTCAACGTTACCGAATGTGTCGCATCAGAATGAAATCGAATGACAATTGGCCCATTGGCTTTGGTTATGACAGGAGTTTCAGTAGTCTCCGAACTTGAATAGGCAAGCTTTCCACCACAATATCGATCTTTGGTCGTCCCTTCACCGGTTTGTGAACCACCAACAAGCAGTAGGTAATCATTGACGCAAAGCTGATCACCGACACCTGGCATTGCTCCTGTTTGTGATGATTCAATACCAAAATTTAAGTCGGTCGCCGAATAAATAACACGACAAGTATCCGGTTGACGTTCGATGCATATTGCATAATCTAAGTTGTTGAGATAATGACCAAAATTGAAACTTTCAAATGTTCCTGTCGGTTGTGTATAGTATTGCAGACAACCAGTGGGTGCAGGATATGTCAACTGATTAGGAATCTTTTGATAGATGGTTCGTGATTGTCTTGTGGCCAAGGTGGAAACTGAAGAAAACGGGCCTGTTTGAGCAGGAGGTTGTCGCACTCGACAGTCGATTTGAGTAATTTTTAAATGAAAACGGTAGTCACCAAGGGCGTTGGTTTCGAATACGATTGATACAGAACGTTTTTCTTGATTTGTCGGCAAGGAAAGGTAGACTTTTAACATGAAAATAAATAAGAAATAAATCAAAAGTTGATTCTTCAATACAAAACCACTTGATACTACTTACTATGTTGATTACGATTATTACCACAAAGCACTGGAACAGCTGTAGGTGTCATACCGGAAGCTGTTGCAGTGAATTTATCACCCAGACAATTTCCTTCAGTTGGAGGATCAATTTGAAATTCAAGAAAATCGATTCGTAATTGACAAATATCAGCATCGACAATATTGACGCTTAGGTCGCAGAAATTTTGCTCCGAATCAGTCAATGGATAGCTAGGATTTTTGAAATAAACCACTTTATTATAAGTGCTGTTATGACATGTTTTGGACACTGTAACAATTATATATTAGTAAAAATTATCTTAACGAAACCTCTAATCATATAAAATCACATACTGATACAACATGTTCCAAGACCTTTGGCACATTTTGAACTTGGATTTCCACCAAGTTTTTTACATTCCAAAGTGGTATAACATGTACCACTTTGATTACTTGCGTCCAGACATTCTTCGTTTGGGAATCGAACAATGTTAAACAGGGTAGGTCGAAGAAAACCCAACTCGGAAAAGAATGCTATAAATACAATAATACAAAAATTTCAATAAAAATAAAATTTAAGATAATCTTACTTCTTCCATGACGTGTATCATTCGTAACCGTTGATATTGAATCAATGTCTTCTAGTGGCGTGTTTTGTTGTTCATGTTCCAAGTGACTAGAATATGTTTCTTCATCGGCATTAACTTTGACATTTTTCACAATGAACAATATGAATAATAAAATAGTGAAGAAAATATAACGAAAAAAACTAATGGTAATCATTTCGCATACGATATATTTTAGCTAACACGTTGAAAAAACAAACTGAAAAAATTATCATCGAAACATTACTGACAACGGCTTTTATATAACCTACTCTAATCATTGAGTGTATTTACTTTTTCCCGAAACTGCTATTTTTGGGTACAGGAATTTATCGAATCATAACCCAAAAAACCCGAAGCTTTTTTACTTGCCAATAGGTTTTTTTTCTGTCAATATTTGATCATAGCTTTGAAAAAGAGGAAAAATTCTCATACTCATGATCTATTTTCCGTTGACTATTTTTGACTTGAAATCATTTATTAGAAAAAAAACCAATTGAATTGAGGACAAACTACAATGACCATTGATTGAAATGAGTTTAAGAAAAAAATTTACAGGTAAATTATAATTATAAAAGTTAATAGCAAACAAAAACAAGATTCGATTTCATCGGGAATTAGCAAACGATACGATAAGTTTTTTGGCCATATCCATTTGATTCACTATTGGCAATAATACCGATGGTGTGAAATGGAATAAAGTTTGCATCGAATGAATGGCAGTCATCATCGGTATCAATTTTAATACACGACACCTTTCAAAATCATATAAAGCTTGACTGAGAGCTTCATGGGAATCTGATCTTGATGCAAAAAGTTCATAACCGGCTGATAATTTTGAATCTAAACAGGAAAACAAAGTACTAGCATCGCCAAGACCAAGATTGAGACCTTGGCCAGCTAGTGGATGAACACGATGTGCTGCATCACCGATGATCGCTGTATTGACTCGTTTATCTTTGTTGATCAATGCTTGTAACAAGGGAACTTTTGCCTGGATTGTACCGACCATAAAAGGTATGGTAGTACCGAATCCCAGTGGAAATGCAGCTCTTGACCCAGTAACTATCGATCGAATTGTTGCGGGTGATCGTATCTGAGCGTTATCATATTTGAATTGACGGATATTAAATGTGGATGCCAGCTTATCTAACGGACTTTGTATTTTCGGCTCACGGATTAATTCATTGTTAAGTCGAGAAATGAATTCTTGATCGGATAGTTTCATCCATTCCTGTAAGGATTGCTTAGGCACTGACAATACCAACGATGAATGACATTTATCGAGTGGCAGTAATGCAATTACTAATTGATCATTAACGAATCGTTGAAATGCTATATGATTATCGTTGTTAAGTGTTTCAACTTCCAGAGTTCCTACTATGCCCATTTGGTTTAAATCAGCCTCAAAATACGGCAATGTCGATTTTGAACGTACAATCGATTTGTATCCATCACAACCAATCAACAGTCTGGTTTGAATAGATTTTTGCTGTTGTTGAGTATCTTCCATGTCGACAATCTTCAATTTAATAGTTGTCGCTTGCGAATCGCGTACATCAACATCTTGGTTTATATCGACTACAGATGTTTTGTAAGATATATGCTGCAATGAATTCGGATTCGATTGAATAAGATCATGTAGTGCTTGAAGTATACGATTATTTTCTAAAATATAACACATTGCATTTTCATAAAGAGAGTCGTGGCCGAAATTGATACCATTTTGATAATGTTCAGACCATACATACATCCCTTGAATCGATTTAGCATAAGGCGATAAAGAATCCCAAATCTTTAGTTGTTCAAAAAATTCTTTAGATGAAAGAGTTATGGCAGATACACGATTGCTGAATTTACGAGCTTCTGGCATCACTGAGGTAGATGGCTGAGGCGGTGATTGTTGTTCGATCAATAAAACACGTTTAGCTGACAAAAATGGTGAAGATTTGATTGCGGCAAACATTGAAAATCCGACGATTCCACCACCGTTAATGACAATATCATAAGCATCATCTTGAATGATTGAATTTTCTTGATTGACAGCCTGATTAGACAACCATCTATGATGTTGGGGATGTGAACAACAATATTTTGATTGACGGACAGGCCATGATTTCGAAACCGAATTGATGAAGCCAATATCAGATAAGAATATTTTCTGGGCATATACAAACTACATTTAGAAAAATTGAATGTCATCACTTAATTGAACATTTACCTTGAACATGTTGGCTTTGAATATTTTGGTGTAATACCTGCCGTACAATAGTAGATGCGTGATAATAATAATAACCAAGATTTAAAATATTGAATATGAATTTTCAATCAAAATATAGCAACAGATTGAAATTCAGATTGACAGCTGCTTTTTTCACTGCAAACACACACACATGTGAAAAGAAGAGTTTAGTTCATAAAATACGAAACAAAAATTTGAATTTTTTTTCGCACAATTTTGTAGAATTCAATTGATATTTAATTTTCAACTAATTTAACATCGATTATTAATTTATATCCAGTTCGGATAAGAAATCCCATTGATTGTTGTAGAATTGTTTTGATTGTCACATAAATTGTGGACATTAGAAACAATGTAGTGAAGAAAATAAATATCCATCGAATGGTTGGACTGGATCTAGAGAAGATATTTTCCATAGCTATTTTTTGGCCACTCAGATAGAAATCAATGAAAGCCAAAAATGCCATGTAAAACATTAACCAAAATTGTAGAAATGAATTGATAATTAAAGAATAGCCACGCCAACCTGAACAGAATAAATATTGACACAAGGTGATAGGCTTATCTTGAATCGTAACATTACGGAATTGTTGACGACAATCCGGACAATTTCGAAGTTGCTTTCGAAGAATATATCGACGAACATCTCGAAACGACCATCGTTGTTCATGGCATTGGCAGAATCGAGGTGACTCCCTTATTGATTGATTGAAACTTTTTGAATTCATAGTGTCAGTCGTTGTTGTCGATGTGGACATTCGAATTGCGTTGCAAAATACAAAAAAAAATGTAAGGCACTATTTATGATTGAATTCGACATTTTATTCAATAAAATAAAACAAAATCCACTGAAAAAAAACAAATAATTCAATTGGCCGATTGATAATTATTTACAGATGAATTATTTACAATGGTCAAAAATTCGAAAAATTCATTAATAACCAATAACATTACGACGTGTACCGGGTGCATTAAGAACAACACCAGCAGAAAGAATTCGAGCTGAACGAGAATATCCACTAGTTTGCGCGGTAGGATACGTGGAAAAAGGCGCTAACCAAAATGGCTTCACAATACCGTATGATGGCCAGCCATAATTTTCAAAATAACCAATCGATTGATCACTTGGTGAGCATAAAAATATGATGATTATATACAATGTCAACATCAGCATAGTCGAAATGCTTGAACGACGAAAACACTGAATATTTGGTGATTAATTTTCTTGTTTTAAATGGTAGAATTTTTAATAGAAAAACTCACCTCGATGAAATTCATTTCGGTTTACGATTTCGACAATTACGATCGCAATGAATGATATAATAAACAGATAAAAATGTTTTGACTAAGAATGAGACAATAAAAAACAGACACGGATCAATGACGTTTGAATTATTAAATCATGAATGTTTTCCACAAGAATGGATTGAGATTGATTCGTTTGAATGTCGTATTTATATCGATGTATACCATTCGATCCATGATTCGATATTCATAGATGTGTAAATAAAGAACTCTGATCACTGATCCATGGCTATGATCTATCACTTGTCTTTGTCTTCTTCTTCTTCTTTATCATCAAATTGTTGATGTTGTTTAATTTCAGTTGTTTTTAGAATACATTTCACGTGAGACAAACACAACAGAAAAAAACGAGTGGTCATTGTCAATGTTATGGTCAATTGGCTTTCGAAGGTTTCATGTTACAAATCATTGATGATGATGATGATGATGGTAAAAAAAAATAAAAATATTCAATGTCAATGTCTGCAAAACAGTAGTGATGGTTCTATATTTGATGGATCAACATCAACATTGTGATCAAAGAAACTGCCCACATTTTTTTCCAAAAATAATATTCAATTGACAGATGATAATGAATGAAACAAAAAAAAAATAACAAACAAGGGTGGTGATCCATGTCATAATAGATGTCAGATTTAGAATCGTACTAGAAATTCTCCTCCCATCACAATGGCTAAAAGTAGCCACAACACTTATTCTCTTACTTTTTTTATCATTTGTTTTGCCGGTCCCAAGAAGAGAGTTCGATCTTGAAGATGAAAAAAATTTTCTTTTTTGTTTTTGTTTTTTTATAGCTATATTTCGCAACAACAACAAAAAAAAATGACGACAAGCTATTTATGTAAATAATTTCAAGATCAATGTTATCATCACTATCATTGATGTGTGATGAAATTATTTTTGTTCTTCATGTGTCTGGGATCGATTTACGCGCGAACACGATTTATGTTGCATCATTTTTATTTCATTCGAATTATTATTGCATAAGCGGCAGCGACTGCCTGAAGATAAAATAAGTTGTGGTCATTTTTTTTATTGCCATTATCAAAGTTTGTCAAAATCAAAATCATGTTGTTCACGATGTTGTAATTTTTCTTTGGTTGCAACATCATAATATCTCTTGCATAATTGTTTTGTTTTTTGTTCTCTCTCTTGAATTTTCTTGAAAACACTTTCACTTGTACAAATACCATGTTGCGTAATTTTATTAACAACACAGTTTAGAAAACAACATTTTGTCAAGTGTGTGTGTTCCATGATGATGTTGATGATGATGATGATGATGATGTTTAGTGCAACAAATTGTGTAATCATTCCATACATGTGAATTTATTCCGATGATAATTATATGTTTAATATGATTATGCAATTAATATTTATTTTTATTAATTTCAATTTAAAATATCAATGATTTTCTGGTTTCGTTGTGAAAAAATACCAAAATAATTGATTGGAATTGAAAATTCAAAATGGATTCTTCAGGTCAAGGTATAATGTATTTGGAACAACATTATCGTTTCATTCACCACCACCATCACCACCACCACCAACATTCATTATCGTCGATCGCATGCAAATATTTGCGAAGATCACATCAATTATCACATTGTTGTTGTTGCTGTTGTTGTTTTCACATCTTTCCATCATAAACATTCTTTGTGAACGAGCATTTTAAAAATGTGTCACTTTTGAAAATGAAATTTATTTGGCCAACGTGATTTCATGCACGGCCAACAATCACAATGATGCTGGACAGAAATTTTTTTCAATAGCGGATGTGACCAAATTGAAAAACCGAAATTGAATTTTTCAATTAAATGCCATTTTGTTTTCAAATCGCGAGATTTTATCCATCAACAATTCAGTTTTATAATTAGAATAAAAATTAAATTTCATAATAGCCTCGACCATGATAATGAAATAATATTCAAGTCCAAGTTCATGGATCAAATTTTCGCAACCATGTTATCCGAAGATGCTGTGAATAACAACAACAACAACAACAATAATAATTTGATAAAGATACTGTCCATTTTGATGATAATAATCATCACCGTGTCTATATTTTAACTATAGTCAGTTCGATGTGGAAATCATTTTTTAAAGATTCAGATATATTTTCTATAGAAAGCAACCAAACAATAATAGCCTATGCTACAAATAGAGTTAATTGTAAAGTTAACGGCTTTTGCAATATTTGAATCCACCTTTTTTTTTTCTTGTTGTTTTTGATTGCTTGCTTCAGGATTCAATTGCCGTATACATCGTTCTTCCATTAATGATCCACTGACCTAGTGAGTAATGAGAGTTACGCAAGAGATTCAATGAAATATCGATCTCAAATTGAATTTCGCAATCTTATTATAAAAAAAGAAAAAGGTTTTTCTTTGAATTTTAAGCGCGGTTTTTCTTATGAATTTAGAACCTAAAAACCGAAATCACATATATGAACGGTCATGCAAACGTGGGCATGCGTCAAATATTGGAGTTCGGATTCACCTTGCAGCTGTTGTTGTGGATTGGTTCACTAATTTGAAGATTTTTCATATTGATTTTTTTTTTTTCAGGTAAAAAATTCATTCTAAAATGATTTAATTATTATTAATCTTTTTCATCAGATACACTAAACATAGGAAAATGTTGAGCAAAAATTTGAAAACAATTCGCTCAATCAATGGTCAATTGAAAAGATATTTGTCGGCCGGTCAAACTCAAACTAAATCGTCATCATCACCATCGATTCAAGTTTCGACGCTTCCATCTGGCGTTGTTTTGGCTTCGGCTGAATCTGAATCACCATTAGCTCGAGTAGCTGTTGTCGTTCGTGCTGGTGCCCGTTATGAACCTCAATCTAAATTGGGCATTTCTCATATTGTTCGGTCATCTGCCGGTTTAGGTACGGAAAATTTTAGTTCATTTGGTATAACCCGTCAGATTGAATATCACGGTGGACGATTGACGGTGGCTGGTACTCGTGATTCAATTACCTACCTTTTGGAAGTACATAACGATGAAGAAGTTTTGCCAAAAAATTTTACAATGGTTGCTGATAGTGTATCACGGCCAGCCTTCAAGCATTGGGAAATTGCGGACAACACTGAACGATTAATGGTTGATCGATCCTTGTTGGAAGATACACCATTTATTCAATTGACCGAATTGATTCATCATGTCTCATTTAGGGGTGGTCTTCGAAATTCTCTTTATGTACCGAAATTCATGGTCGGAAAACATTCTGCAGAAGATTTGAAAAAATTTCATCGCGAAACATTTGTTGGATCAAATACGGTAGTTGTCGGTCTTGGTATAGATCATCAACAATTAACTGAATTGGTTGGGCAAAGCCTTGTATTGCCAGCATCGACAGGAATGAAAGAATCTAGTGATTTTATTGGTGGTGAAATTCATCAAGATTCATGTTCACCATTGACCTATGTTGCCATTGCTTGTGAAGGTGTCAGGTATTATATTGAAGATAATTTTATATCTTCATTGGATTAATCAAATCATTTTAGCATCAATAAATCTCTAAAAGATTATATTGCTGCTGCTTTATTGCAGAAAATCCTTGGTGCTGGTAGTCAAATTAAAAACTCGTATGAACTGAATCAGGCACAACGCCTAAGTCAAGCTGTTAAAGCTCAACTTAGTGGAAAATCTTCGGAAAATGTTTCAGTAGCTTCTTTCAATTATAACTATGAAAATACCGGTCTTTTTGGTGTCCATTTAGTTGCACCAAATACCTGTGACATTACTGCGATGGCTAAATCGGTTGTAAAAGAATTCCGTGCTACAATGACTTCGATTTCAGATGCTGAACTCAATGATGCTAAGTAAGTACTATTTATCTTGGTGTTTATTTACATATATCTAATATATGATTAAAATTAGAAACAATTTGAAAACATCGGCATTGATCGCTCTGGATGATGAAGCTGCATTGGTATACGAAATGGGCACACAATTATTGATGACTGGCCAGAAATTTTCAATTGAAGATTATCTCAAACAAGTTGATTCAACAACCATGGCTGATGTCAAAAGTTTGGGTTCTCGAATGATGAAATCAAAAATTGGTTTGGCCACGATCGGACAAAATGCTCCATATTTGAACGATATTCAATAGATTTTATAATTAGATGAACATTTTTTTCCTGTGAAAAAAAAATGAATGATAGATCAATTATTAAACTTGTTGTAAAAAAATAAAGAAATAAAAAATTGAAATTATTAAGCATAAAATCGGATCATGATTTTTGAAAAAAAATTGTCGAGATTTGATTGTAAAAAAAACAAACAAACTCAAAATACGGGTCAATGATATTGATTACGAATTAACATGGATATTGAACAATGAAATTGATCCCAACGAGACCACCCACTATGAATACGATCGAAACTTTTAATTAAATATCGACTATATAGGATACCTTTTTTCATTATTATGACCGTTGTATACAATACCAGTATAATAATATTAATTGATGTCCAATCGGCCAATAACAGTCATTGGAAGATAAACGATCTTGTTGCAATGTGTATGCATTTTCGAAACTAGATCCACATCTTTTTGGGATTGACTTATGGTTCAATACTTTTTTTTAGAATAGATTAATAAAAAAAATAGGTGATCCTGAACGATTGGAACAGGAAAATTCTGAAATAGGATTTTTTTCGTTGTTGCTGTTACAAAAAAAAATAAAGGAAAATTAGAACAAAAGACGAGTTAAATTACAATGAACATTGAACCGGATGAGTTCATTGTTCTTGGGGAATTCGTCTCGTTTTTTTTTCTAAAAAATAAATTGATTGCAGCTATAGTTTACAAAGAAAATAAACAAAAAATAAATAGTGTGAAAACTGGTGTAAATTGGATAAAATTTTTCTTTCGTTTTTATTTAAAATACATTAAACTGGTAGCAAGCAATTTAGATTTTTCAAAAAAAAAAAAAAAAAAACAAAACAAGAATTTCAGACGAAAAAAAACCTAGAAATAGAATAATGATACCCATACAATAAGAAAGAATCGATTCAAATCAATTCGATTGAAATAAAAATTAAATAGTCGTATTGGGAGTGAATTTTGGCCAATTCAATATAATCAAAACGTATTGCACAAATAATCAAATGTTTTTTTTATTTATATTTGAATTTAAGTGACAAAAAATTTTGTATTTTTAAAATTAAGAGGAGTGGCGACAATGTGTTAATTTCCGTCGGAAGACAATTAAGTTTAGTGATAATCGATCAATTCTTCATTATAACCGGAACCTTGACAATGATTAAAGTTTTAGTGATTAGGAAAACAAACGATTGGCAAAAAAAAACATCAAAGGACAACAACCAATCTAATTTGACACGAATAAATGAGAAAAAAGGAGAAAAATGCCAAACTTAGGCGGTGTATTTTATGCAAATGTGAATGCATTTTTTTTATATGTCTATGCAAGCACAATAACATTTACATGAAATGTAGTTAATACTATGATTAACCGACATTATATTCGGAATTATGCATACATACATTCGCGATGAGAAAAAGAATGAGAAAAAAAGAGAGGGAAATACTTAGAACATGAACACATATATATCCCACCGGAGAGAGATTTGCTAGCTATGATTATTATGATTATTATTATGGTACTTTTATATGTAAAGCCATTAATTGCATTCATAACTAACACTAAGGAACAATGAATTCTGGTTCTGGTTCGAAGAATTGAACAAAAAAAAACAACATAAACAATAAAGGAAAATTCATTTTGTTTATATGTGGAAAGAGGGAAAAAAGATATTCAGATTAATAAAAATATAATATGGAATGTGAACGATCTAATTTCCATTCTGGAAATGAAATTGGAACCAAACATCAACAGTGTAAATGAGTAAAAGAAAAAAAAAATGGAAAATGTAGAAGAAAATGGCTGTGATGTATATAATAGGATTACAAGACAATTTGCATTAAATAATAATGTCATGTGTTATGTCGATCCAGATTAGACAAAGCGACAAACGTAAAAACAACATACACACATTGCACAGGTGGGCGTAATCTATTTTCGAAACAATTTTTTTTTATATTCTATAGTTGAGAAAAAAAAGTTTTGAAAATCTATTCAATCTTGATAGCGGTTCGATTATGGGCCATCATCATCATAACGATGATGATATTATTGAAACAACAACAAAAAGGAGCAACAATAAATAGAATTTCATCTCAACCCCCCATCTCAACACACACACACACATATATACATTCTTTATGATCATAGGAAGCGACCTACAAAAAAAAATTGCCATCATTTTGAATTGTAATATATCTATGTATGTATATCATTTTTTTCGGGTCTCTAATGTTATCATTGGATCATTTAAGGCCTAACATTGCAATAGTGATTATATGAAAGTGAGAATGAAAGTAATCGAAATGGTTGCCGAATCGAACAGCTTTTTTTCGCAACCAGAAACAAACAAACAAAAAAAGATGACAATGACGTTACCATCATCCAATGCTATCATCATCATAATCAAGACAATCATCTTTAGAATGAATGGTGATTGAATGACACACACACATATATACAAATGAACACATGATTCAACACACTCAATGAATCAGAAAAAAAAATTGAATGGAAAGAAAATGATGGTTCCTATATATATATAATATTGAGAAAAAAGCCTATAGTCATCATTGTCACCACGACCAAATGTGGTCTTAGTTGCTATTTGTTGTTGTTGTTGTTTCAAACTTTTGATGCGTCCATAGGCATACCCATCAACCCCCCACCCCATCATCACCATTATCAAGCAACGATGAAAGATGTTGACAAATTTGTTATAGTTTTTTTTTCTTTCATTCATTTAGTTTAGTTTCAAAATGGAAACGTTTCTGTTTTACATTGAAAACGAACGCCACAATGTTGTCATGTTGGTATAACATCATCATCACAAAGATGATCATTTTCAAAAAAAAAGATTGAATTGAATGAACGGATGAACATTGAAAAAAAATGGCAGATAAGAGAAAGAAAGAAAGCTCGAAAACAATAAGTATCATCACACCAGACGTATTTGACACCATCAAAACATACAGTTCTACAAAACCTAGTGAGCAAAAAAAAAAAAAAACAGTGATTGGCTTCAATGCCATTACTATTAAAAAATTTCACTATGTTTTCACGATTATCCAATGATTCTTGGTTGATGATTTAATATTCAAATTCCTATAGAACATTGATGATGTTTTTTTTTAAAAAAAAAACATTAAACATTCGAAAATGAAATGAAATGTCATATATGCATATGTAATGAAATGAAAATTGCAGGACATTTTTTCTTTTCCCGTTACTGTCACAAATATTTCAAAAAAAAACAAAACACAAATTCCGGTGTAAAGGAAAAAAATGGGTAAAAATCACTTTTCATCGCCATCGTTTACGATGATGATCATCATAAATGAATAAAAATTCATAAAATGAATTTTTTTTGTTTTGTTTTTGTTTTGTTTTCAATGATTGACGGGAAATTTTAAAAAGGAACCCAAAGGGTTTGTGTGATCACAATCATACACAAACACATGACAATAATGTAAATATATGATTTGAATAATTAATTTGAAACGAAAAGAATTCATCAGCAAAAAAAAATATACATAAAATAAAATGAAGAAAAAACAAAACAAAAAACTTGTTTCATTCATTCATGCTGGATCTTCATCGTTAACAGAATCATAATTTTTCCCTTGTTCATCATTCATGATAAAAAAAAATGTCGATGATTATTCAACTAATTAACATGATGAATATTAATTAATAATTAATCAAATCGATGATGATTCATGATAAATGCAACAAAGGTGTGGTGTGTGTGTGTGGGAACTTTGGTTACATTTTCTTTCATTTTTGCATATAAATTGATGAATAGGCGATTTTTCTTTGCTTTCAGTCATGAATGACTTGTGTATACACACACACACACACACATTATGGTTCAAACAGAATTCAAGATGATGATGGAAGTAAAAACAAAATCAAAAACTATAATTATTTCTCATACATAATTTGATCGTTATGATGAATAAACTTTTTCTTTCTTTTTTTTGCTATTGAAACTTGGAAAAAAAAAGAAAAACTTACAATTTTTATTAATAACTCTCTCGTTCTCTCTCCCTCTCACTCAAAAACAAATTGACATGAACAAAATATTATTATTAGTTTTTTTCCTTCACTGCTGTATTCAAATACTTTTTTTTATGAAATGTTAATGTAAATGAAATAATTTTTCTATGACGATTCCAAATATGTGGTGAATTCTGAATTTATACTTTGAATTTTTCAACTATATATAAAGAATATTCACCCGAAAAAAATTATTGATTTATCAAACTGAATGTAATTGAATTGATGAACTTCAGTGAAACCATACAATCGAAATGGAAAAAAAATTGAGTATAAAAAACCGGAACAAACACGTGTGTGTGCCCGTCATTAGTATTCAATGTCAATAGTAATGGTGAATGAAAGGAAAAAAAATCACTCATTTGTCTATATGGTTTTCAATTAATTATAATTCTTACAAATATAATAAAATATTGATTCGTCTCGTGGTTTCGTTTTTTTTCGGGTTAAATTTCTCAAAATCGATTCAAAACGAACGCTAGGGAATGAGACGAAAAAAAAAGAATCCCAAAGGACTGAAAATGGAGAAAAACGGGATGAAATAAAATGTGAAAAAATAAACGTTATATGTAGAGAATCAAGAATATTTTTTTGTTGTTGTTGTTGGTTCCGTTATCGAACTATCATTGAAAAAGATAAAATGGATGACGAAGAAAATATGAAATATTCATTAGATTTCGTCAGATATGATCTGGTGTTGGATTTTTATGTTTTTTTTTATATTAATATATATTCAACCAGAATCATTATTTTGAAACAAAAAATGATACAACATCTATGCAGTATAGACGGCATTTTTACCGTTTGAACACAGATAAAAAAAATGATGATATCGATTGATTAAAATTAAAATAATTTTTCATTTCATTCAAATTGTTCACACAATACTAACATTACTTTTTTGGTTAAATTTATATTATAAATCGTGAATTAACGGTAGAAAACGGTACTTCCTGTGTTTAAAAATTGAATAGATGACAAAATAAAAAAAGAAATGTAGTGACAACAAAAAAAATTCAACAGACAAACATTTAAAATTAGAAAATAAAACTCAAAGA